ATTGCGGCGTGGGCGCCTTTCGTGTTCCTGCGGATAAGCGCAGCTATTTCCTTGCTACCGTGCGTGACCTTTTGGCAGGAGATCACATCACTCCTCGTCAGCTCGCCCATGTCGCAGGACTCATCGTCTCAATGAGCATGGCCGTCAACCTGTGCCCAGTCTTTACCAGGCGTCTATTTGCCGCCCTCGTCGGGACTCACTCATGGGATGAGATTTTCCCCACACCTCAGTCGGTGCGCACAGAGCTCGAGTGGTGGAGGGATAATTTTCACAGGGTAGAGGGCCGGCGCTGGCCTAGTGTTCGCGAAACGACCGTCGCGGTTGGCGATGCGTCCGATACGCACGCTGGCGCTTTCTTCCCTGATGGGGCTCTTCCCTACCCCCTACAGGTGCCCCTTCCTTCGCACCTCATCGGTGCTAGCTCCACAGCAAGGGAATTGTTTGCCGTTCATTCGGTTCTCCGCACCTTGCTCGCATGTGCCCCTGGCTCGGTGAAGGCACATCGCCTCCTGTACCATACCGACAGCCAGGCCAGCAAATATTGCATCGACCGCCAGAAGGGGGTCAACGAATGCCTCCCTTTGGTCCGGGCGGTTCATTTGTTGGCCTGGGAGAACGATGTGGAGCTTGAGCTGGTCTGGTCGAACAGGGAGGACCCCTGGCAAGTTCAGGCTGACTTCTTCAGTAAGCCTGATGATCCTCATGACTGGGGGTTCAAACCCGAGGCCGTCGCCTGGATCTGCCACCAGCTGGCCATCGATCCTACCCTGCTTACCCTCGATGTGTTTGCGTCCGCCTCCACGGCGATTTGTGCTAGGTATTTCTCTCGTTATTTCGACGGCCAGTCTGCAGGAGTGGACGCTTTTTCGCATGACTGGTACCAGGAGCGCGGCTACGCGTGGGTCAACCCCCCGCCCCGTCTCGCCGGTCAGGCGCTCCAGCGCCTAACCCGCCACTGGTCCACCGCCATTGTGGTGCTGCCCGCTGCTTGCCGCGCGTGGGAGCCGCTACTCTCGTCCCTACCCGGCCTCCGCGGCCCTTTAGTGTTGCCTCGCGCCCTCACCTGGCAAGGGGCGGTGATCCGCCCTTGGTTCTTTTGGGGTTCGGGAGCAGCGAGTTCGGCGAAACCCTCAGGATGGTACCCGTGGGTGCGGGTGTTTGTAACACAACCTGTTGACTAACCGCCTCCGGTTACATTCTCCGGGTGATTGTATCGGTCTCATCGTTCGTTCCTGGTCACCAGCCGGGCCTCAAGCTCCGGGGGCGGCCCACCCCACACTCGCCACGGGGTCCGCCCCCTCTCCCCCGCCCGCTCCTGCTCTGTGGTTCTCGCTTTCACCCTTCGTTCGGCCTGCACCTGGCGGTGCCAATGCCGCCCCCGATCCACATACCGCTCCACGGTGCCTGTCGATCGTAACAGCGTTTGGCTAGCCACCTCGGCTATCGACATCCCCAGTTCGTGGTGTCTGTGCTGTAAGCTTCCACGCTTGCCACTATAATAGGTCAACGTGTCTGGTGCATCACCTCGTGGTGCCCACCGACGCATAATGCGGGTGGCTTCCATCGCATCCACGGACTGGTTCTGCGGTCCATGGTTGTGCTTCCAGACTGGTAGCAGCACCCGAATGTCCTCGCGCTCGTGTTGGTGGAGCCAGTCCCCCATGCGTTTGAACCAGTACAGGAACCCCAGCTCCGGGCGCGGGTCTATCTTCACCCGTCCTGGACGGAATTCCGTCGTGGTCTTCAGGGCCCATACATCCAGCATGATTGCCCCCTCCACCGTCCGCCAACCCGTCGCGGGCGTCCAGACCGGGCGGCCCCATTCATCCACTATCATGTCCCGCATGTATGGTCCCAGCTGGGGCCTGACTCGCTGCCCGGTCTCCCATAGAAAGGTCAACAACAACGCGTCTCGCGTTACCTGTCCTCTTCGCATAGGATCTGCCTCGCTTTCTATTTCCTGCTGGCAGGCTTCCAGCATCTTTCGATACCATTCCACCCTTAGTGGCTCAGCGCTACTTTCTCCTACCCCCTGCACCTGTTGGGAGGCACGGTAGGTCTTTTTCCAGGTCCGGACGCAGTCCGACCTACACGGATTCCCGCTCCGGTCCCTGCTCTGCCAGTCGCCTTCTCGCCCATTCCGGCGGAACCAGCTACTCAAATGACTGACTTCCTTCTCCATCGTGTTGAAGTGCCACACTCTCTCCCCACTCTCCGTATGCGTGCGGGCCCGCCCCTGTCGCCTCCGCGATACCCACTCCAGGAAGGTTATCACATCTTCTGGTTGCGGCGGGCCCTGTTGCCACTCCGCGGGCCGCCGGGCCCACCAATTCACAAACTCCTGCTCGATTCGCTGTTTCCGTTGTGGCAGCCTCTTCTCGGCAATCCGCTCCACTCGCGCTCTATGCGCCTCGCGCGCTGCTCGGTACTGCTTGTTCATATCGTCTACTGTCCACTTCTCCCCTCGGACAGCCGCCACTGGCCCCCCTAGAACCTCGTCCCGTGTCTCCTGCACCTCCTATTCCCGCGCCACACTCCGTCAGTCCGCATGCGGCACTTGCCTTTGCAGCCCACGATTGGGCCGAACGGTTGGGTATGCCTGGAAACGGCCCTCTCGCCTCCTTCGGGAGGAAAATGGCATCTCAGGGTATGCGTGGCTAGGCGCTCGAGTATGGCGCCAAAGCAGGAATCGCAACCGTTAAGGATGCCGGAGGGCCGTTGACGATTGAAATAACAGGCATATGCCCCTCTCCGTTCCGGGTGGGGGCGGACCATGAGGCCTGCCCCCGGATCGGGGCATCTGGCAAGTCGTTAGGGCGTGAGTGGACCGGAAAAGGGGAAAGTGCGATGGCGTAACGGGACGGAAGGTAATGGCGTAATACAATTTAAGGTCAAATGGTCATTTGTTAAGATACACTCACACTGAGCGACATTCTTAACATGATTAACGGAAATTAAGGGGCGCGGACGCGCCTGACCCGCGATTGATGGAATAAAGTGCACAACACAGCGATCGCGGCTGTCGCTCCTCGCGTCAGTTGCTGCGGACCATAACCTAGCGTGGCCGCTGCCGCCAGCCCGCCGCGGAAGCAAGCCCAAGGGATGGTAAGCAAGGCGGCGGGGAAGGCAGGCCGCGATAGCGGGAAGCGGAGAGATTTTGCACGACCCACCCACCCACAGCCCGTGGGGTATGCCTGGAAACGGCCCTCTCGCCTCCTTCGGGAGGAAAATGGCATCTCAGGGTATGCGTGGCTAGGCGCTCGAGTATGGCGCCAAAGCAGGAATCGCAACCGTTAAGGATGCCGGAGGGCCGTTGACGATTGAAATAACAGGCATATGCCCCTCTCCGTTCCGGGTGGGGGCGGACCATGAGGCCCGCCCCCGGATCGGGGCATCTGGCAAGTCGTTAGGGCGTGAGTGGACCGGAAAAGGGGAAAGTGCGATGGCGTAACGGGACGGAAGGTAATGGCGTAATACAATTTAAGGTCAAATGGTCATTTGTTAAGATACACTCATACCTCCAGAGTTTGGTCGCCAAATTCTTCGCCAACTGCCCGGCTGCGTGCTTGCTTGTTCCACGCGTGCGCGAGAAGCACACTGGCACCCCGCGCGATGCCAAAACCCCGCACCGCAGGCGATAGGGACCGTCCGCCTGCGCCCCGAAGTCACCGATTGGTCGCCAGATGGGGGTGCGGGGCCTCGCGACGTGGATCAATTCCCAGCGCATCCAGTCGAGGATCAAGCTGGAGGCGTCCGGCTGCCTCAGCTCCCCGCAGCTGATTGTCTTCGACGCCATGGGCTGCCTGAGGCGCTACGTCGACCCCTCGACCTTCATCCTCGACTTTGGGGCCATGCGAGACAGGGTCAGGGCGGACGTGCTGGCATTTCGCCGCGCGGGCTTTGAGCTCCTCGTCGTCTTCGACGCCGGAATCGACGTCGAGAAGTTCGACAAGTGGATAGAGCGCAGGTGCAGGGACCTGGAGCTGCTGAAGACCATTAACCGCTTCTTGACGCTCGCGGATCCCGGGCCCCTGGCGCCCGACGACTGGCGGCCGCCGACGTCCACGTCAATGTATTTAGGTCAGGCGTTCAGGGCCGCGGGCTGCGAGGTCATCTTCTCCTGCGTGGATGCCGACCACGAGGCGGCATGGTGCGCTTTGAATTGCGGCGCCTGCGGCGTGCTGAGCGGCGACACCGATTTTTTGATGTACCCGGGCATTGGCACGTTTCTCAACTGCAAGACGCTGGAGATTGCGGGGGGGCGGATCTTTGTCGATGCCGTGGACAAGCGCGGTTTGATGTCGAGGCTGGAGGTGTCGGAGAGCCAGCTGGCAGCCATGGTGGGGGTGTTGGGGAATGATTGCATCGGGAGGCCGCCGGGGGACGTGTGCCGTGCCCTGACTGGGGCTTCCGGGTGCGGCAATCTCGTCGAGGCGGCCTCGTGGTATGTGAGGAACACGCCCGTCGAGCGATGGCTGCCCGGGTGCCGAGAGGCCGTGCTGCACTATCGGCCAGTTGAGCCCGCTGCGCACAGAGTCGACCACCCCCTCACAAGCATGGTGCAACAACAGCGGGTGTGTGCGTGCGACAGTGCTGCAAGCATTGCGGAGTGCGCAACTGCCTGTTAATCAGTCTGGTGCTGTCTTCTATGCCTCTGCACAATCAAATCCCGGCTTTGCACATTCGGGTGATCAAAACTCCATCAGGGACGCATCACCAACAGGGTCGTGCACCTGCTTCCTGGCAGAGTAACTGCATGTTCGTGCAGACAGCACCTTGCATCTGCTTCAATCGTCTTGCACAGCGTGCTAAATAGCTCTGAATGCGCTGGCACCCATGAAACAACCTTCCTGTGCTGACTTTGGAAAGTGCATTGTATACAGATACTGGTGCGCGGTGTGGCCCTTGAGAGTCTGTCCGAGAAGCCATGCTATGAGGTGCTGGCCAAGCTTCGGCTGAGCGTCTACTGCCGGAACCTCATCCCATCGATCCGTGAGCACATGTGCGTCCCAGGCACTTCTCCTCGACTGTGGAAGCAAGGCCATCTTGTCACAACATCGCGGGATACACCGCCTGCCCCACAACCACCAAGGGCACCCGAAAAACTGGTGAACCTGGTTTGCTGCCTGCTACAGAGCATGGGAGCTTTGAGCAAGCTGCATTGCCGTGCCCTCATGGCCCAAGTGACCCACAGGGCCAGGCTTCTGGAGAAGATGAAGTGCACTCCTGCTCATCTGCTGCCCATGCAGCCAAAGCTGTGCGATTTGCACGCTGCAAACTTGTATCTTCAAGCAATTGTCTTTCTGTACATTGGGGCACCTGAAGGCATCCAGCCTTGCTGCTGGGACGTCTTTCATGGCCCACTGTTTCATTTCTTGTGCAGGTATCCTGGGGAACTGCATGGCGTAAATTTGTCCCCCTCCTTGGAAAGCGTTGAGTGATGGGCTGTCTTCCGTCAGTGTGCATGTTATGGGGATGCAAGACTCTGACAACTCGTTGAATTTATTCTTGGCAGAGGTGGACTCTGTGTTGTCTATTTGGCCCTTAACAGGATAGTATGTATCCAGGCATGGGGCTACTACTGTGGGATCCAGCTACGAAGCAACGTTAGTCCAAGGCATCAAGCCACAGGTCTGTGGTTTAGGAGCTGGCACCACTCCCTGCTTCGACGCTTCTGGAAGTTCCTGGTTCTCAACAGTTTCAGCAATGCTTCATTTGCGCTCTTTGCTTCTATCCCACCTCTCTCTGCACCCACAATTCTGTAAACGATGGAGGATGCCAACCATCAGGCACCTATACGATCCTTGCTTGGACATGAGGCAGCACAGCCTGAGTTCTTTGCACTGTCGGTCTCCATGATTGTGCTTGTTGGAAGCCATGTCTGTTGGTTGTATTTTCTTTTGACTCCAAGATATTATATTTTGAATCGAAAGAAGAAACCATTGGGCTGGTCGTTTGTGGACTGTTTTTCTTTTGCTGTTGTTGCTGCCAGTAAGCGATAACCTTGTGAACAGGTTTGCCCCCAAAGCTGAAACAGTGTCAGAGTGGAGCTTTGCGCTGCTGGCAAGGTCGACTTATCGCAGCCTTGCTGCACATTGTCATCTTCCCTGTGCTGTCACTGTCCTGAAAAAGGACATTGGCCTGTTGAAGTTAGTGTGCAGCAGAGATCGCTCTTTTTCTCCTGTTGTCGTCTTGCATTGGCCGATGAAGATACGAATTCGCAGTGGTAGTGTGCAGGAGCAAGCCTGCCAAAAGGACCCCCCAACTCATGTGAACGCCATTGACTGCTTCGTTTGGCAGGGCCCCAGGTCAGGCTTGCAAGCTGCCACACTTCAGTGGTGGTGCCTCTTTATGAGACAGTGGAGTGAGATTAGAAATGTTGCAAGTGCGCTCGTGCTCCAGAGCACAGATTGGTGGATCGGTTCTGCTGCCCTCCGAGTGGGTGCTCCTTGCCCACAAATGCGTAACGCGCACTAATCTTTTCTACATCGTGTGCTCGAACACTTCAGGGGCTCAAAAGAGAGTGCTGGCATGGATGTTTGAGGTATAAATTGCACACACAGAATGGGTGTGCTTCGCTGGGGAGATGGCTTTGCGTGGCCTTTGTGGGAGGCTGCTGCCAGCCCTTATGGGAGGCTGTGCAAAAGCATTTGCGAGGTAATCATTAACAGCAGCACGACAACCTCCGAGTGACGTCCAGGGAATCGGGCATCCTCTCGCTGCCAAATGCGGGCTGGTGTTGCTCCCGGAATGCCAAATCACAGTGCTGCATCGCGATGAAACAGCGTCACATGTTGGAGTGATCAGCAGAGGGTGGCAGCGCTGATGCCACAGCGCAGTCCCTGCACCGACCCCTTTGAGTCTTGGCAACTGCATCCGATTGAAAACGCAAAGGGGCGAAACATGCCAGGGGAATTCCATTCACGATCTTCTGAGCAACTGCACCGTTGACACTCGAGGGGTTTCCTTGCTGAAACGTTGTCCATTGTGACATTACCATCTTAATTTGCAGTTTTACGCTGCCTAAATCGATTGACAGCACAGTAGACCAAGGAAGACGGCCAGGGGCCCAGCCGGGGGCTTGGCGCGGCTGCGTGCTCCGGGGTGACGCGGGGTGACGCAGCGTGACGCGCGTGACGCCGTCCCCCTCACGCCACCCAGGATACTCCTTCCCTCTACGCAAGAACAAGCAATCTGTCTGAGACAACGAGAGGCCATTGACATCAGTGCAACGGTGTGTACCAATGCGGCTCAACATACACAGCTGAAAGATGTGCCTACTTAAATCATACGAACACTGATGCCCAAAATGGTATGGGGCTATGGATGCGAATATATATTAATGAATTCCAGCCAGGCATCCTATGTCAAATTCCACATCGCTAACTGGACAAATCTACAGACTAGGCCTGGCCGCGCGACGTGAGATTATCTGTCCCAAATCGCTGGTTTTGTGCCCTCCAGATGCCACCCATCACCAATTGCACAACACCAACAACCTGTCCTGAAGAACAAAATTCCTGACAGACTCGCACAGCAACCGATCCACTGAAGTTGCCACCTAGCTGCAACTGGCTCGTCCACTGTCTAGCTGCTGATTGCCGTTCGCCACCAAATGCGGCTGTACAGTAGGTACCACCGCTGTACAATGAAAAGTCCCCATCATCAAGAGCTATAGACAGCATAGTCAATAGAAGGCTCCAATGCTCAGCTCGCGACAAGTTCCTGCATCTACATAGCTGACAATCTGTGCATGCGTGCCGTCAACCGTGGACGCGTTGAGGTAACGCCATCTCCGCATCCACACCGGTGCTCCCAGCCAGCCGGGCCCTCATCCTCATCGCCAGCAGCAAGCGGTCTCCTCGCTTGGACAGTGTTGGACAATGAAAGCCCAGAAAATGCGTCCGATCCCCGTCCTGCCTGAATCCAAGCCCTCAGCCACGCCCCCCATTTGTCCGTCCGTCTCTAACTGCAGTGCACCTGCACAACCTTTGGATGCAAGGTCAGGCACGAAGTACGGGGGTGGCCATCGCCCTTGCAAGTCGTCAATTGGCAACCTTATCATCATTTGTGGAAAGGGGGGCCTGTCTGGAAATAATGAACTTGAAGTCGTGGTCATCCGTTCTTGCATCTTTCTTCAGAAAAAGCTTCAATATTCCAGCCATGTGCGTCCGGAAATACCTGGGGAATGCAATGCAAACGTGAAGCACCTATAGTCGCTCTTCCGGCAGATCACTGAAGAACTGACAAACTGAACGAAAAGCGACATATCAGAGTTTACCATACGTTCTTGCCACCTGTGTAATTGAGTTCCAATTTAGTAATGACAACATAGTAAAGCAGCAACGCCTGTTGTTCATATTCCGCGAATAGCCTCAGCGCTCAGAAATAATCGAAAAGCTGTCATTCTAGTTCAGAGCATGTACATGCCGGAAATACTGTGCAATGCATGATTGAATTTCACGGCAAGACTACGTTCAACAGTAATGCGTTACTTCACCATGACCATATCCTCCAACGTGGGGATGGCCTTGGAGATGAGCTCTTGGAGAATCATTTCCTTTGTTTCCTTTCTTTTTCTGGCTCGCCCTGCAGCCAGTATGGCCCCATGCCATCCACTGATACTGAACACGGGAGTTTCAGTGACGTTCGTGTGTTTTCATATATTAACGTACCAGCCATTTCACGTTGGCTTAGCCTGCCATACGTGGGGCTTTGGCAGAGCATCCAACTGTCGTCAGTAACAGTAACTAAGCATGCCGTACATACACCATTTCGAGAGAACACAGAGATACACAAGGCGCACCGATTCCAGTCCCCCGTTTGTCTCGTCCACAGGCACCGTATGTCCTTCCTCTCGTCCTCCATGAGAGCCCGGTCAAGCGCCTTGGTGTTGGCGCAGCTGAAGTATAAGTCGAAATCATGGCGTTCGCAATTGCCGTAGGCCCATGCCTTCCATCCTGTATACAGCCGTTGGGCTGCGCGCGCCTTTCCAAACAAGCGCATTAGGTAGCACAGAGCATGCACCTGTGCGCCAAAGTGCCGAAGCACATATGAGGCTGGAGTTGAATTGCGTACAAAATTGTGTTCAAAAGTGCAATCGGGGACTAAAATCGACATGCACTGAACAATCGCACTCTAAAGTGGGACAAGTGTTTGCGGAGCCAATTCTGGTGCCAACAGTGTTCCTAATTCGACCTGTTGACAACGAATGTTGAAGCGATGGTCGTCAGAGTAGGACCAATACAGGCCAATATATGCATCATTACAGTGGCGGTTCCATTTACAGAGTTTAATGCTGGGGTTCTGCAAGATCCGCCACCCCACGATCCAACAATAGAGCCAGCTTTCCGTGATGCTATCAAGGCGTTTTCCGTCCAATATCTCTGGGTAGAGCTGGCTGTATGCCATATGGTAGTTGACCATAGCTCCGGGGCGTGATGAATTTGACGTCACCCCATCACGCCGCATAACTTTGCAACCTTTGAAGAAAGGCACAAAAGCCCCTAGAATACGGTAGGAAACTTGGCCGAATTCGCCCCATTTGGCGAACTGAAGTATCCGGTTCTGCAATGTAAAAGCAGCACGAGAGGACAGCATTCTTTGAGCAGCCGTACAGCTTGCTGTGCGTGCACGCGTACCGGCGAAATGGGCGCGGTACACGGCTGCCTGATCGAGCCAATTGGTCCGCATAGTCGCAAATTGGCGGGGAGGCATCAAGCGATTCACGAATGTTGATCAAGAATTGAAATGGATACGAGTACCCACCAGGCAAATTGTATGCCCACTCACATACGTATATGAGCGGACATATGAGCGGACATGCAATGAACTGATATTACATTAGGCTCTCTGGGCCACGCATAAGCTGTTGTCATGGGACCCCAGCATTTGTGGGTAATCGAAATATTGAACAGCAACTTTATCAAGAACCGTTCTTGATACACGGAATCGAATTTGGGCAGGTACGGCAGCATAGACGCAGCGTGTGCCCCCATCATCAGATGTCGGTATCAAATAATAAACTGCGAGTGTAGCAACGCTGTGTGCGCGCTTCTTTGCATGTCGAAACAACACCGATTGAACATGAGGAAAAGCAGCAAGAACGTGGAAGTTTCGACATGCACGTGACGCTGTACCTTCACGGATGTGCAGGACTTTGCAAACCACAGCCGATAGGGGCAAGGGACGTAATCCGCAGGATAGTCAGGGTATCCAAATGGCAAAAGGCAGAAGGGTGGGCGGTTTGCGGTGAAGAAACGCTGTGCATAGAGATACATTTCGTAGCTGGTTGCCGGATACGTTGTGGAGCTTGTGGCATGGAAAATCATGGGCTCATGCTCCTGCAAGTCGAAAGCACATCATTCAATCCACAGCTGCGAGGAATAATATCCAACTGGGGCTCCCTGCAGGAGAATCACTGGGCGGCAAATGCAACGACCAGTGCTGCTCAGATGCAGTGCACACAATTGTATGCAACGCACATATACACTGAGACAAACGAGTTCCCGCCCAAATCGCATATATCCAGTGTGGCGACGCGTGGCGCTGTTGACGCCTCCCAGCCAACGATAAGTGACAACTTATCTGTCCTAACGTTAGAACAGCACTAAAATAGGGGATCAATGTCGGTGGTCCGATCTGCGATCGGCTTCCCACATCAGTAACCCGAATTTCAGCATGCAGCGCACACACATGTCGAAATTATCGCGACACCCCGGGCGCAGAGAAAAGGAACCAAAATTGTTCACCGACCCAGCCCGCACATCAGCATGAATACCAGTTGCCGTACCCGAAGAGGGGCCTTCACAGTGGAAGCCGCCGCCGCGAGAACCACCGATGAGACGACGTCCCCGGGGATGATGTCGATGACAGACTGGGGATACCAAGCGTCACCGTTCTTCTCGAAGAAGCCCAACGCATATGCAATTGTGTATCCCCCGCCTCCGGCGAGGTTGCCCAGGTACCCGGGATAAGGGCTGCCTGCCAAGCCGGTGATCATGCTCGGCCGAACGATGCACACCGGGAATGGCTTCCTGTGGTAGCTGACCACCAGCTGCTCAGCGAGGTGCTTGCTGAGGCAGTATGTGTTGGCCATATTCCACCGCTTCAAGTACATCGTGCAGCGCTCAGCAGCCTCCTTCTCAGGCATGCGCAAGAGCTCGTATGCCACTTCTTGGTGATCAACCACCTGCCAGTTGCTGAATTGGTGAACAAGTGACAGTGCATAGAGTGCAATCGAGCCCATTGATTCCAATGCCGACTTTGTTCCTAGCACAAGGCGTCCCTCTGGCGTGTTGATATTTGCAAAGGTAAGTAGAATGCTGCGTAGTGCACAAACGCGTTCTTGCATGTAAAAATGACTTGTTTATGAGAAGTCATCCGCAATTTGGATTGTAAGAGACGCTTCGAGTCCCAACTGGGATACTGTTTGTGTGTTTGCGCATAAATTTTGCAAGCATGTCATGTGGTGACTCTTTTGGCACAGTTCAGATTCAGGCCGCCACGGTTTTCTGGGCATTGAAAGGAGGTGTGCAACAGACAGAGAAGCAACTAAAACGCTCCCTGACCTTTGCGACCAATGGTCGCCGACCATGCACACTTCCATGCCAAAATGAACATCCCAGTAGCGAGCAAGGGCTTTGCCAATGCTGTCATGCACATGGCAGCTGCCCCATCCGAGCTCCAGTGCGTCAAATGCACAAGGGCAGGAATCGGTTCTAGCGTCATGCCCTGCCATGTTCTATGCGTACTCAAATGCAGCAAGACAGAAGTGTGATATTTCCTACTCTGCTCACATCAATCGCATGAAATGACAAATTCGATATCCTTCCAGAAATGTTATATAATTGACCGGCATTTCTCAATTTCGCCTTGTACATTCGTGGATGTTTAACGGATCAAAGCCGTCCGCAAAGGGCAAGCTTTGCCACAATGCAAGAAAGACACAATCAGTATACAGGGCACCCCCTTCCTAAGCAGGTATGCACGATTCTGCGACTCTACATCATCTTCCTGCAGTGGAGTAAAAAGGACGTTCCTAGGCTTGTATCACCTGGTCGCCATCCATGAGTGGATAGATTTTCTCCAGAACGGTGCTGCCCTTGCCGTGCGCAACGCCGACGTAAGCCGTCGATACGTGCAGATACGCCTTCAACTGCGACATATGCACGCACAGCTCTAACACGTTCCGCGTCGCCATATAGTTGTTCTTGACAGCGTGCTGGATGTGGTCGTCAAGGGCCACAGTCGCCGCCGAATGAATCAAGATCGTCGTGTTGCGCAGCACTTCCTTTGAGTCCTCCATGCTGAGGCTCAGGCCCTCCTTTGTGATGTCGCCTTCGATCACATGGACCTTCGCCAAGACGTCCGGTGAGTCCCAGAGCTTGTGGAACAGGCCTAGCGCAAACAAACGAGCGTATGGCGTTGGATTTCATCCACAACACAAAAACAGTGTTCTGTAATGCATTTCCAGCGCAGCGTAGCACTATCGAAATAGAGCGTGTTTAGTGTCTTGTTACACCATCGTACAGTGGTTAATAATACAGTAAGAGATGCAAGCTAGAAGATGCCATACACGTCCCTCGACATGCTTTCAAACCTGCAGCACACCTAGAAAAATGAAAACCAACCACTGGGCAGCACGGTGTGGGTGTTCCTTAATCCGTTCTCTGTAGCTGGGTGGCTGGAATTTTACTCCGTGAAGGGAAACTGTCGGCTCCCGGCGGGGGCGGCTAAGCATGCATTTAACCTTTGCGCATGATTGGTCATTTCTTCTTTGGAATGTATGTGCTCTGGTGAAATCCTAATCTGTGCCTTGAAACCCTAAAAATTAGCTTTCCTGTTATTTCAATGCAATTTTTGCGCTCATAGCTGTGGGTATTTGCGGCGCGGCAGGCTCAGGGCAATCGCGGCGCGGCTGCCTTGTCCCCTCACACCAACTAGGAAGGCTATTGAAAAGCTGCCGGAGTTCGCCAGAACTGCATTTGCCCAACGCATCCGTGCAGTTGCCCTGCTGGATGAGAAGAATCCATATTCTTCTAAACTTCAAGCTTCCCGGAATACAGCGGACACCTGTACAGCAATGGCTGATCGTGACAGGCAAAACAACGGAAGAGTAGCCCGCGGCCACCAGCCCTCCGGCGGATTCATGCCGATCGGCCCCATGGCCATGGCAATGGAACCCAAGCGCGTACATCACCCCTCACCCATCTGCAGGAGACGATCCACGCGCTCTCTCGCACTAGCGGACTTCTTGCCCCTGGACAGCACGTACACCCGGTCCACCTCCGGGCACACCCTCAGGATCTGCTCCAGCACCAGGCTACCCACGTAGCCCGTCGCGCCCGTCAGGAAGACGCAGGCGCCGCGGAAGCCCTCGCGGACGGAGAGCGCCGAGGCCGCCGCGCGTCCCAGTGGTCCAGTGGCGCCGTTCACATTCCTGCCCTCCTCCGAGGGCTTGCTGCCGGGCCCCTGTCGCGTATCCGTGCCGCTCTGTGGCTGCGCCATTGAAGCGCGCTGGCACCCTTGGGCGAAATCGCCTCGCCCCACTGCCCCTAGACCTGCGATGGCAAGGTGGTGGGGCTCAACGTTCGAGCATCACGTGCCGCCAGCGTCCATCGGGTTCCTTTAGTTGTCCAATCGCCTGAGAGGTCGGGTGCACGCAAGAGAACCGCGGTCACATCGTGTGGCCATTAGGCAATGAGTGCGTGTTTCCGTGGGCTGCTGCTGAGAGGCTGGATTCTGTACCGCTGACTGCGCGTATATGAATATACAGGTCATCGGTCATCGGCGCAACATTGGTGCGCGAACTGATGCATGCAAGTCGATTGAATCATCCCTCTTGGGGTATTAGAGACGCCATAAAGTCGAATCCGCGGGGCCTATTAACGGTGGTGGCGATAAATAACAACTGTCGACACTACGATTCAAGGAAACTGCAATTTCGCATTCCATTCCTAGAGTCGAGAGTCTTGCGACATTTTCTCACAGAAAATCTGTTGCGAAATTGAAAGTGCTGGCTTGTGCCCAGCCGCGCGGTCTACGCATATCAACCCAGGCCACACGCACCACATGCAATTGCATACCTGGCAAGGTACGCGCGATCCTACTCGCACTCTAGGAAAATACCATGTCGAGCCTCACAGACCTTTAATGCATCGTGCAACATTCGATGTGAAACTCGCCATGCGCAGGCATCCAATGCATTTCAGAGGGCCACAAATACCAACCAACGTTGGTTAATTGCGGGTCTTTCAGGAAATTCCCGCAGTACAGCCCGCCACATCCCATCGTTGCGAAGCAGCCGCGTCCCTGGAGCACTTTGCACTGACTCTTAACACCCTTTGTTTGCCTCCGTGCCCCAGTCGACGCGTGGAGACTGAGGAGGCGGATCGGTGTCCAGAAAGTTGAGCCAGGCCGAGCTGGCAACCTGTCCTGAAGTACAGAATTCCTGACAGACCCGTACAGTGACTGATCAGCTGAAGTTGCCACCCAGCTGCAACCGGACGCCATTGCCCAGCTGTTAATTGCCGTTCGCCACCGCATGCAGCCGTGCAGTAGGTACCACCGCTGTACAATGAGAAGTCCCCACCATCAAGAGCTATAGATAGCACGGTCAATAGGAGGCTCCAGTGCTCAGCTCGCGACAAGCTCCTGCATCTACGTAGCCGAATCTTTATACATCGTGCCATCAACCGTGGACGCGTTGAGATAGCGCAGTCGCCGCATCCACACCGGCGCTCCAAGCGGTCTCCTCACTTGGATAGTGCTGGAAAACGCAAGCCCAGAAATTGCTTCCGATCCCCCTCTTGCCTGAATCCAAGCTCTCAACCACGGCCCCCATTTGCCCGTCCATCTCTAACTGCAGTGCACCTGCACAACCTTTGGATGCAAGGTCATGCGAAGTTCCGGCTTGGCCATCGCCCTTGCATATCATGAGTTTCCAACCTTGTCGTGATTTGTGGAAAGGGGGTCCTGCTTGTGAATAATGAATTTGAAGTCGTGGTCGTCCGTTCTTGCATTTTTCTTCGAGAAAAGCTTGAATACTCCAGCCATGTATGTCCGGAGATACCTGGTGAATGCAATGCATACCTGAAGCGCGAGTCGCTCTTTCATGCAGGTCGTTGAAGAACTTACAGGCTGAATGAAAAATGGCATGCCATATTTTTCCCATACGTTCTTGCCTTTTGTGTAAGTGAGTTCCAAGACAATTGGTGACGACAGTACAGTAATTACTGTGAGACTACCCGCGCACTGTGAACTACATGCCTTGTGGTATCAATACAAAAAAGCATGTAGCTCACAGACCGCCAATAATCTCAGTGCTCAGAAAGCATCGGAAGCCTGCCACCCTAGGTCAGAACACATATATGCTGGCCGCACATGCAGCGTGCAACATGTGCTAGCTCGAGCAACAGAATTTCTCTGCAACTCACGATTGAACGGCACAAGCATGTTTTCCTAAGCAAATACACGTGCAATATTGTGCAATAACGCGTTAATTCACTAAAACCCTGGAGATGAGCTCGCCGAGATGCAAGCCAGAGAATGCAACAGGAAAATTGGCGTCAGCCAACAAATAAAGTCAATGAATATACTGGCGGGTGGCGCATGATCGCCTTCGTGTCCTTTCTTTCACTGGATTTTCCTGGTGCACTTATGACACCATTTTGGCCCAGGATACTTGAACGTGGAACTTTCGGTGACATTCATTTGTTTCACATCGCAACATACCAACCATCCATGTCGGAGCATCTTGCCAGATTTAGGGTGGCGGCAGAGCATGCGTATGCTGCATGTTGCATGCAACTGTCGTCAGCAACATCAATTCTGGAAAAGCATACCATTCAAAGAGAGCACAGAAATACATAATTGTTTCAAGACGTACCGATTCCAATCCCCCGTTTGTCTCGTCCAAAGGCACCGTATGTTCATTCCGCTCGTCCTGCACAAGAGCACGGTCAGGTGCCTGGGTGTTTTGCTGCTAAAGTACAAGTCAAATCGTGGCATTCGCAGTTGGCGTAAAGCCATGCCTTCCATCCCGTACACAGTCGTTGGGCTGCACGCGCCTTTTCGAACAAGCGCATCAAGTAGCACAGAGCATGCACCTGTGCGCCACAGTGCCGAAACATATATGAGGTTGCATTTCAACGCCGAATTTGCATTCGAAGAAAACCCGACAGTCACCGATGGGTGGCTAAATGAACAACATGGCCTGAGCACAAGTCATGCAGTCGGCAAACAAACTGGACATGCACTGAACGGTCGCAATCTAAATTGAGACAAGGGTTTCCGGGACCAATTCCGGTGCCAATATTGTTCTTTGGGTCGACCTGTTGACAGCGAGAGTTGAAGCGATGGTCATAAAAAGTACGACCAACAAGCATTGCACGGTCACCGTTCCATTGACGGCGCTTGATACAAATGATTCAGCAGGATCCGCCACCCCACGATCCAACAATAGAAGCTGCTGGAACTCTTTCATGGGATTTGCCCGCCCCATGTCATTGGGTAGTGCTTGGTGCATCCCACAGGGTATTCGACCCAAGCTATGGAGCGAGATGGATCTAGCATCAGGCGATCCCGACGCACAACTTTGCAATCTTGAAGAAAGGAACAGCTGAGCCAGGCCGAAAACCGCAAGGGCTTGGCTATGCCCGACCATCTAAATCTGCGTGCAGCGCCAAGGATGGGCATGCTTAAATTCGCCATTGATATTCGAGCTTCATGCCTGTAGCTCCCACCCCAGACCATCCACAGAGAATCCTTACAGATTGCACCGCCTTCGGAGCCCCAATGACCATTTCTGCATGGACAACGACATTTGCCATGTCGCGCTCCGCACGCTCGATCATCGCGATTGGCATCAACCCCCATCCTTCAGGCGGGCGCCCTCCGCCGATCCACGATCAACCATGATCGATTATTGATCAATGCATACTTCGTAGGCCGATCTCTTTCTCGCAGCCTCAGGACCAAACTGCCGGCTCGAGAGGGCTATATGTCTGGACCTATAGATAGCACCAGTGGATCTACAGGAGTTCCTTCCCCCGTGGGCAACGTGTCTTCCTGGGAAGATATGCTGACGTGGTCCCAATACTATATGCGTTGTGCATGGAATCTAGGCGACGCTGCCGAATTGCCACTGATGCACTTCGCCGATTTATCTGAAGTGGTAAGGAACAGAGGGATTTGCGACCATTGCGGCGCCACATCATGTAGACATCAGTGATCATGCACATGTGCTGCCTCTGCTCAAAACTCTCTGCATGTGCCCTTCGTTAGCTCTATCTAGCTTTCCCATCAAGGGCCACAGATATTGGCATACTCATGTTCAAACAAACACAAGGCCCCGATGCAGCCGCGTGGACACCACCTGCCATGTCGCTGTGGCGATATCGCAGGATGCATGCCCGCATTTCCCCAAACCAACACCACAGCAGACTCGCAGATGTGTTACGCTTGGTGTCGGAAAAGTCTTTGGAGAATTCTCAACTTCCAAAGTTCAGTTCAGGATTTCCTGGTGAAGATATGCAGTAAGGCAATTGGTATTGTGAAGCATGGCGTGGTCATTGCCGCCCGGACTTCACTTCCCGGTTCCTGCGGTTACGGGCAGGGCCAGCTGCCGGGAAGAGTGGCATCACATTTGGCATCACACACCAATACCAAACCCTCTCCTGTGAGGTAGTAACCGTGTACCGCAAAGCCGTGACTGGGTGCCACAGTTCTCGATGGGTTTCGCGGGGACCACTTGCTCTGTGCGATGCGAGCATCGTGCACGGACCACCACGAGAAAATTCCTCAACGAAGCAACGCCACTTGACGTGGCCGATGCATTCCGCCTGAGGCGTGGCATCGGTGTTTGTCATCGGCGCGCACTCGTAATTGCATTTGATCGACAGCGCATTTGGCAACACAACGGATTGCAGCTGGCAACGGCCGCACAAAAGGCACGTCTGGGCTGAGAGGGCGATGGCAGGCCCTCCGTCTGGCGACCCAACATTGGGACCAGAGGAACATAGCGCGTCCTGATTCCTCGGAGTGTGCGGGGCCCTTGTCGGGTAAGAGAGCCTGTGGGTCACGCCCAGAAATGTCCGGAGTTTCGAATCGGCCGTCCCGACGTGCGGCGGCGTTCGTGGTGCGACTGGAATAAAAGCAGCAGCGCGCGCGGGGCTTCATACCGTATCCTGCAGCACTCTGCCTTGTTCCGGGAGCACCGCGCCGCACGTGAAGGGGGAGAAAGTTCGGCCTCCATTTGGCGACAACCCGTGAGTCGCTTGCGCCTGTGTTGTGCCCTGGGCGTCCCTGGGGCAGCCTTGGTCCGGCCCTTCCTGGTGAGGCGACCCGCGATCCTGCGGTGGCCGCGACCCGGAACCGCGACCTCTGGCGGACAATTCGAATCCGCGCTGGCGCATTGAAAGGAAGGGGCATTGACCTTCGTGGGCCGGGGGGAGGTTGCTTGGCAGTTCGCAGCACGCGTTCCGTAAAGGATGTCTCGGCATGATGCAGCCCTGGGTTTGGGCGGATTTGGGCCCCATGAGAATGCAACTGCATGGCGCAGTTGCGCCCCAAGGTGCCCCCATGTATGTCTGCTGGCGAACTGCGCGGTCGGGCAATGTCGGGACGCGCCCAGCGCGCACATGTTTTGGGGACTACCCGGGACGAACGCCGCGGGTCGGTGGATGGACGGGCATTGACACATCGCCTTTGCCGCAGTTGAGACGCAGCTCTCCGATTCATGAGCTCAATTCTGGGGGCCATGCGGTCCTACGGAAGCAAGGAAGCGGCGGCCGGGACGGCCGCGCCGCAGGCGGTGTCTCCGCCGCCGGGCGCAGCACGGCTGTCCGTCCGCGATGCCTTCCGCGGATCGGGGGTGCTCCTTACGGGGGTTACGGGTTACGTGGGCAGCATCGTCATGGAACAGCTGCTGAGGGTGTGCCCGGAGGTGGGGAGGGTGTACGTGTTGGTCAGGGCGAACAGGAAGAAGGGCGTGTCCGCAGCGGAACGTCTGGACAAGCTCGTCAATTCCGGTGGGTGGACGGGACGGCGCCCGGTATGGCGGTCCCAGTCTGCGGACTTGCCTGCCGCTACTTCCAAGGATCAGGTGGATCACAATTTCGAGTTTCCTTTTGGAACGAAATATGGGAGAAAAGTCTCCTTTGTGAACATCGGCTGGGAATATCTGCTGTCTGGCTATTTGATAGCTCCGAAATCGGACACGAAACTGATACGTGGGGCATGTCCGAGTCAATGGCATTCAAGGACAACTTCCAAAGATATAGGCCGCTTCCACACGGCTGCAGGCAGTCCGTTACTGAGCTTACTTTAACAGCAATAGATTTGGCCGATGCGGGCCGATTACAATCGTGGTTCCAGTCGTTCCTCCCGATCTTTGCGTGGATGCTGCCGTTCGCCGTGGTTGATGGTGGTGGGGATGGTGCTGGTGTGGGCAGGCCTGTTCCACAAGCTGTGGGACAAGGCAGAAACGCTCCAGCGCGTGCGCCTCGTGGAGGGCGACATCACCGTAGAAGGCGTTGGGCTGGAAGACAGGGTCGTCGAGGAATTGTCGCAGAATGTGGAGTATGTCGTTCACTCTGCAGCGGCGGTGGCCCTTGACGACCCCATCAAGAAAACCCTGCTCAACAACTACATGTCCACCAAGAATCTCCTAAGCCTGTGTGAGACCATGCGCAAGCTGCGCGTCTATGTGCACATTTCCACTGCATACGTGAACATCACTTTCCCGTCGGGAAGCGTTATCAAGGAGAGGATCTACCCACTGTACAACGGGGACCAGGTATGAGAAAGCCTGGCGCGGCCGTCGCACTGAAGTTCAGGACGGATAGTTGTCTGAACAACGAGGCATAAAATGCTACGATTGCGCCCATCCTTGTGCTTGGAATTCTAGTGGTGCCGCCATAGATTGGACGGAGTCCACTGTCTCACCTGCAGATCACACGGAGCAAGAACGTGCTCTTCTTTCGGGCTTGTGCAGCCTACCGTCTAATAGAATTGAGGTTGGTGCCAATGCCGCTCAGCACTCCGCCGCACCATCAGAGCGCGGACGCCAGCGACCCAGCATGGGGCCTTGCACGCAGATCCATGATTGCACCGTAGCGAGGCGGGGACGCGCAGCGAAGCGGGGATGCTCCGCAAAACGGCTAAGCAATATTCAGTATCACCTCTGATCAGTGCCCTGTACCAAAAGGTGGCATCCCATGAAGACATCGTGTCGGAGATCCTGAGGCTACCCCCGGGCCATGCAGAGAGCAAGGCGGCCGCAATGATGGAGAGATGGAACTTCCCCAACACTTATACCTTTGGGAAACACCTGGCCGAGCAGCTGGTGGCTGACTACCACAGGAAGCCTTTCCCTGTCTGCATCGTGCGACCCAGCCTGATTTCGAGCTTGGCTGGTGATCCTTATCCAGGATACGTGGGCAATCTGGCCGGAGGCGCCGGTTTCACTATTGCCTTTGCCATTGGCTTCTTTGAAAAGTACGGGGCCGCATACAGGGCAGATTCAATCATCGATGGCGTCCCCGGCGACATTGTGTCTTCGGTGGTGCTTGCAGCTGCCGCATCAACGGCTACCCAGCCTCTCAATGTAAGGATCATTTGCCTCGAGAGGGGAACGGGGAGTGTTCTTGTTGCGAAGTGCGAAGCTGTGGTCCGGAGAGTTGACAGATTGCGCTGCCAGGCCGTGGACCAGGGATTGGAAGTCGTGCACTTTGGGCGCCCTGCGCCACGATATTAGAATGAGACTGTGTCTTGTAGATTACCAACCATACTGATTGCTAGAGCAGAAGCGCCTATCAGCGGCCACGCGACATGTGACGAGCATTGAAGAGACGGCGATCTCGTTAGAGTTAGGATTGTGGCTATTGTGTGCGCTCGTAATGACAGCCCTGGTTTGCATTAAATCCAGCAAGACGAGCCGGCCATCTTCCACGCATGCACGTCCTGCTCCTACCCTCTGTCCAACGGAGAGATGTACGCAGCAGCTCAGCAGTTCTTCAACGCCAACCCTCCGCCGTACTGCCTCCAGGGATCCTACCCTGATCTCGGCCGTGACTACAAGCCCTCCCCATGGCTCCTTTGGCTTGCCAAGTCGGTGACATGGCTGAAGGTGCGGCAGTGCCCCTGGTCTGAAAAATGAAGGACACATGTTCCCTGCTTCTCAACGAGCGTGCTGCAGCCAAGTTCGCTGAGCGAACATGTGCCACCTTCTGCACGTCTGCATCAGGCTTTCGTACGAGAATGTACATCGGCGCCAATTGGATCTGGCATAGTCTGGGGACTAAGCGCATTCTGCCTTGGACTTGCTGCGCATGTGGACAGAGCATCCCAGGGCGCTTCCGCGCTTTAGCAATGACAATCGGGGCGTTGACAAAGCCCGCTCAAATGGATAAATTGGATTCTAGACTGCATGCCAGCGCTCTTTTCCTCATGCGCAGATGCGCATGCAAATTGGGGCGCACTCAGCCACTTTGCGCTACCTCCCACTGCATGGATATCGGGCTGCACGGATATGAGTGCAACTTTTTTCCCGTGCCGGGTGTCTACTCCTCAACATGTTTCTCCGTTCTGTGAGTGTCAGCGTTCGCGAGCCCGCACTGTGAACTAACAACCGCCGTCAAATGCACCCCGCTGCAGGTCTGCTCCCTGAAATACACTCTGCAGCTGTTGGGCAAGACCCGAGCGGCCACCCGCCTGTACACTGGCTGGAGGGCATGGGACTTCGCCAACCAGCTGCGATACGATTTGAATCTGTTCTTCAGTCCGGAGAACGTCAGGAAGCTTGATGCGATGCTCGTTGAGGAGGAGCGCGAACTCGTGCGGTGCCTCTGGACGCCGCGCACCGGCGACTGGCTCAGGTGAACAAACTGCGATGTGCTGCAGCTTGCAAGGCGGCCGCTGCATGAGGCGTCCAATACGTGTGCTGTGCATTTGACGAGGTTGACTCGCGGCGATTACGTGCACGTATGCCCATTGTGTGCATTTGCAATCAACCCCATGTGCGCGCGGGTGATTGCCAGCGGATCGTTGCTGACGGTGACGCACTGGCGAAAGCAATGTGTGAAGGGGCCGGACAGCATCGAGAAAAGGGTTCCCGGCAATCAAACTTGGTGCGCGACACGGCGAAGACGGTGCGACATTTGCCATGCATTGATTTAAAAGTTGCTCAAACATTTCTCTCGCCTTGATCGGAATCGCGACGGCATTTGGAGGCTGCCTAAGTCGGAGCCCCTCAAGGTGGGCCATACGTTCCTGCGCCTGCAAGCACTCAGCGCCAAATACACTCTCGGACGGTCCTGGATTGAGCATAGGGACAAACACTTTGGCTGGATGTAATGGAATTTCACACTCTCGGACGTATGGCGCATGACGTCGAAATGGAATCGCAGGACTTCGTACACACTTACAATTGTAAGTTGCAACTTTTCAAGTTATGCACCAGATGGAGGTGCTAAGGCCGCCGCATTCAATGAACCAGATTCATGAGGACGTCCATGGGAGCCATCAAAGCGCTCTTCCTCAAATCGCCTGCCAAGGGCGATCAGGAGTTCAGGCACATAGGCCCCAGGGAGCCGTGCGTGTCTTACTACAGCTCCGCACTGCCGACGGATGAACAGTTGGAGGAGTTGACGAAGGGCGTGGATGGCAAGACAGCGCCGGACGGAGGCAAGCCGCCAGCTGCTCGGCGGCCCCCTTCGACTGGACCAGTCAGGCGGGCCCACACCGGAGTTCGCCACACCAGCTCCGCCCAGGACTCGAGGCCAGGCGCGGTCAGGCGCAGCGTGACGGAGTTGCGCCATGCGCAGTCTTACAACTTCCCCGATGAGTCCAAAGGCGAGAGGGTTGGGAAGGTGGTGCGGCGCGTGTCGTCCCGGGCCATGAGCGATCTCGCCGCAAGCCTGTGGGGCGACGACCGTCGGGATGCGGATGAGGGATTTGAGAGCGACTCCAGCAGCGAGGAGGAGGGCGAGGTGGAGTTCGAAGACGAGGGGAAGGTGGACTGACAACGTCCCTGGGCGACGCTGCACTAATTTCTTTTTACATGTTGAGATGCAGCGACATGGCAGTGGGCCCTTAGGAGCGCAGGGGGTGTTCTTGTGCCATTGCAGAGAGATTTGGGCGATGTTTTCAATTGTAATTAGCCAGACGGAACAGTGAGTCGCACAAGATATGCAGCTGAATGGTGAGGAGATGTCCTCCAAGGCGACTGCAGATGTAAACGGTAGGGCTTGCTCTCGTGAAATGTATTCCAAGTTGTTGATTAAATCCTGGAGCATTGTGGTACACAAGGGTTCCTGCGTTTGCTGTTGCTGTGGCACAGCCGACCGGATATGCACACGGGCAACGATTTGAGGCGCAGGAGTGGTGCTTTGAGATAACACCAATTCTCGTGAAGTACTTTGAAAGATTTTTGTGAATTTTCTTTCAAGTTCTCACATTCTCGCACACCATCACAACTCTACTTCCTCTATCATGATGCAACACCCTGATAGCAAAGTGAACGATAGCGAGATGGCACCATAGCCAGTACCAAACGCGGTTAAGCGAGTGCATTACAATGAAGCTGGCCAGCCCATGAGAAGCCCGCAGGCCATTTTGTTGATGTACATCACGGGGCTCACTCAGAAGAGACTCATGACGAATCACCAAAAAGCATCTCTGCATATTCCTCTGGTCCTTTCGGCCACATCCTCCAACACGTCACATGCCCATCAGCAGAATGAACCTTTCAGGGTGGCTGCTGGCATTTTGACCTCTGGGGCTCATGTTGGCACCGTCCTCATTCCCTGCAATGATAAGAATCCAGCCATATCTGCATTACATGCGCATAAAACCTTGTGTGCGTGTCCCAGATTCTATCTCGAGTGCGCCACGGTAAATGTGCATGGAACGAGCTGCTTTACAGCGACGTGCCGTTGCTGCAATCACCATTATCGCAAAATCTCGTTATTGGTACCAACTCTACCATGCCCTCGAAATAGCAATAAGATGTCCCGCACAACTCCAGCTCACTACAAAACACAGGCTGTTTCAATGCCCATCAGACGATTCCCGCTTCTTGCAGCCAGGATGTGTGCATTGGACAAGGATCCTGCTGTCCAGCCTCCATGGCGGCCTTCGAAATGTTGTAGAACCATCCATTGCGCCACTCGAACTGCAGTGCAGCAGAAGCCTTCACTCGACTGGATGCACCATCCGGCACTGACCAAAAATGTGAGCAAGCAGTGGCGCGGCATTCTGCTGAGAAAAATGTGACGAAGGCAGCAAAGGCCAGGTGTGCCAGGATGCCATCCATTCAAGATCATCAGCGAGCACGAAATGCGAGGGATTCGTTCGGCAACCGTTCCAAAAGCGTTGCTTCGTGTTGCTGGAACGCATAGGAATCACCTCTTTGATAGCAGTTGGGTAGTGTGCCACAGACCGGGCGTAGGCGCACAGCCGTTCCACCATCCCATCTCCCAGAGAAATCCCCAGGGCTTTGCACCCAGCAGCCGCAAGTTCGTTGATCAACAACACAGTCTGCAAGACAAATGTTCAACAGCAGGCACTGAATTAATTTCTCTTGGCTTTTCGACACCTTGGGTAATATGCACTTTGGTTTGAGTAGTCTCAGTTCTTCCCGCTTTTTTTTAGACTTTGATGACACTAAATTTTGAGATCCAGGATGGAAGAAGTGTACAACACAGCGATTTCGGGCACAGATTATGTTCGTTTCACCAACTACACTGCATCACTTTGCAAATGACTGGGGAATCTTACGCCCTTCGTTAGATTATCCCATCGGTGTGAAGTGCAAGAGATGGCGGAAACACTTGACAAGGTGAGGGCTTTCAAAGGTGTGTCATTCCACCATGGAAGACAGCATTTCCCCATACTACTCACAGGACTGGAAACCGTTGCAGATGTCTACATCTGTTTTGGGGAGGGTGGTGGCCCTTGGCGAGGGAACCTGATCCGACTTTGGATCCCGCTTGAAGCAGAAGCCAAACTTTCCCATGCTGCTCAAATTCTCCCAACATCACAGCGCTTTTTCCTTCGCTTTCGTTGCTTTGTCGACAGGAGCCATAAACACAGCAGGCACAGCGGGTGCACAGCAAGTGAAGCAATATTTGATTTGCGATTCCCAACTGCAAAGTGCAGGGCATGTCCTCTGTCACATGAGAACGGAACTGCTTTGCTTGTTACTCTGCGTTGTGCTCATTCTTGGCAAACAGGGAGCCATCCATAACGTCTTTCACACAGAGGGACAGAGTCTTGCAAACGTGTTTGCATGGGAGAGGCATGCCTCTTGTATGACTGTTTTTCTTTTCAGTTTTCGATTTGACGAATGTTCCACCTAACTGCAGTGAAAATGTGTCAGTCCAAGCAATTGCTATTTCCCTAGTGGTGCCATGCATTGGCTGACCGACGGGAATTGTAGAATTAGCCTAGTGTGGGAATCACTGCCACATGCTATGTGCCATCCACTGTGGTAGCTCATGTTTGCACTTGGGAGACAATATCTCATGCAAGAATGGAGGCAGCGAAACCAATTGGATTCATAAACGTTCAGCCCTGGACTTGCTGTGCTTGCCTCGTCCTTGTGAGCACTCTCAACCTCCCCAACTGAGCAGCCATGTCGCACCCCAACCAGCATGAACGCACTGACAGGCAAGCCCAAGAAAACACAAAACGTCACACAAATTAACATTTTGACATTTCACAGTAAACTGTCCACTGGGGTCACTGCATTGTTTGTGTCCTGCACTTCACAAGGAAGCACACAACCACCAGAAAGGGGGGGCTGGGGGAGAAACATTGTCAGCATACACAGGTGGGGATGAACAAGTTCTGCTCCTCACCTTATCCATATTAGCTTCTCCAGCATGCACTCCTGGAAAGCCTGCTTGTCAAGAACCTTGGAAAACAACAGTGGTGAAATCAGCCATACATGACACCACACTGCTCCTTGCAGCATCTGTTTTGACATTTTGTCAGCCCCAGCCAGCACATCAACGGGCATATCATGATGTGATCCCGATCTCACAAAAGCAAAGACAACATTGCCAACTCTTTTCACACACCCCCCCAACCCTTCCCTCCCCACCCCACCCACCCCCAACCCATCAGTACCTTGCATGCAAGGCCTCCAGATTCCAAGATAGCAGCAAAGGCTGAGGCATGTTTGCCATTCACTGCATAACGGAACAGAAACATGCTCAGCTACTGATAGTGGGGTAGTCAGCCACAAACAGCTGAGAGGATCAAAAGTGAAACCTACAACGACCACCAGTTGCTGAGAATTCAGTGGCCAGAGCCTTCCCTGCAGGACCCACGTGACTCGGCTTGCCTCTCATTCCAGCCGCATTTGACCTGACGACCTTTGGAGCGCATTTACATTTCCGCAGGAGCATCGTGGGCACTCAAGTCCAAAACACAATAGACATGGACACCCACCGGCTGTCAGCCCTTCGGGGTTCACATCTGTCTTGCCATCAATAGGCTTCTCTCCAAGTTTGGACACTGCAAAGTACACCAGGGCCTGTCAACAATGCCAATAGAGCAATGTTACTACCACTTGGTGTGTGACAGCCACACTGATGCTCATAAAACTGCACAGAGCAGCCTCTCCTCGCTGACAGATTTCTGCTTGTGCACAACAGAAAAGTGCGCGTGATGCACAGGTTGCAGCCAAGTTAGACACAACTGTCAGTGGCATGCAATGCAGAAATGGGCACCTCATCACCAAGGGGACGACGGCGGCCACAGTATGGCACAGCTATGTGGAAAGAGTGTAGACAACTTTATCACCTGGGTGTTGTCTTCAAGTCCCCTCTGCTTCAGCCAAGGCTGCAGCATTCCGTTTTGAATGAATACCAGATCTAGGCAACAGGCACTCAGTCAGGCAAAAGTTGGGAATATGAGTTCGTCAGTTTTTTTCAAGCAGCAGGGAATTGTGAAGCATCTCGCAAACACAATCCAGTTATCACCCAACCTCACGGGCAAGGAGTAACTGAATTGCACTGAGCTAGTGGGTTTCAAGAGGATGGCCCTTGCATGAAACAACAGCACCAGTACTGTCACCACTGTTGTCTGATCAAATGCCACAAGCACTGAACAACGCGCACGTTGGGGGACACCTGCATTACCAAACAACATGAACAGGTTCTCAGACTGCGAGTCAAGTCAAATGCCGGATTCAATGCAATTTGCACATTGGACATTTGATGCTCATAGTGGGCGGGATAAAACACACCAAGAAACAAGTTGCAACAAGCCAACCTGTCACTAGTGTCGCATGCCCGTGTTGGAACTGTGTGTTCATGGCCACCTTTCTCAATTTCCACACTCCATATCTTGCAAAGTCGAGTCCTACCAACACAAATATCCACTTACACTGCATGTGCACTGATGCTACTGGTATTGTAGTTGAGGTTTTCAGGATTTCGCACAGGCCGCATAGCTGCCACACCTGCAAGTCGATGTCATGTGAATTCCCCTGGCCTGGACGAACTGGGCATGCTGCAAGTTCAAAACAGAAATTCCAAACGCACCTTCCCATCGTTGCTTAGGCGTGGCCTCCAGCACATCCCCCAATGCGTCATTGCGTGTGCAAACAATGATTGGTCCAGTTGTCTCATCATCTCCAATGGGCTCTCCTCTCTTGACCAGTTTCTGGCATTATCCGGAAAGGCATAGTCGTAGAGGGCCCATTGGGAACACACAAGTATTGCACCATAATCCATGTCATATCTTCCAGAGCATTTACGTGCACAATGGGATACAATGTTGCACGTGGGCTCACATTAGTACCAGCTGGACCCGACACATAATGCATAACCATCGATGTAGGCTGAGCGAGGCAACCTGCAGTTTCCAGTGAGTTGTTGTGGAGCTACTTTTGCGGGTGGAAATGGCGTTGTTGCGACTCACCACAGGACCCTTGCACATGTCCACCAGCGCCGATCCAATCCTTCCGCCCCCAACAATTGTAACGGCCTGGCGCAGCAAGCACGACATCACGCCCACGCGGGGAGACAGCCGCGAAGGTGGCCGCGCTGATGGCCAGGCAGGCGTCAAACTGGCAAATCGATCACGGGAAGTCGTCGCGGACCCCAAGTGCAAGCTTCATAGATCACGGTTGGCGCCCGTTGACCAGCCCATGGACTGGACGGGCAGCAATGCGGGAGAGAAGTCCCGCGGCGCAACCCTGACCTCGGCTGTGCTCGACGCGGCGCAGCTCATGGGCGTTCGTCCGCTGATGGGCGCAATCTGGCGCCCAAATCTCTCGGGCCTGGCTGCCGCCCCGCCCGGACGCCTGATGCTCAGGAGGGCGAGCGATGCGTGCTGACCGTTCACCGCCGGCGCGCACGCCCGGCCCAAGGCGCACGCCTGAAGGAGCATTGGGTGGCGGGCGTGGTCAGATCGGGACCCAGAGGCGGCAAAGCACCTCGCTGCACTGGCTGAAACATATACTATAGTACATTAGGACGTGCGGGCGGAGGGATTGTGACCCGCTTTTTTCCGCTCTTATGAGGGAACGGCCAGGATAAAAGAGCATTTCTTCCTCTGAAATCGCAGTTTCATGCAGCAAGCCGTGCACCCTAAGCCCCCAAACAAATACAAAAGCGACTGCAGACTGCAGTCTGGAATTCCAGCAAGGGGACGAAACTAGTCCTTACGTTGTTAAACTACTGATGCATTTGGTGGTGAACTCGTCCCCTGTGGCGAATCCTGCTTTGGTGCAAAACAGAAGGTATGCAGAAGGCGTTGTTACGGCTAGAACTGATTGAGCATTATTATTAACTGAGTGCACGAAAAGATGATGAGGCACTAGGAATTGCATTAAGGATGTTGATGAACGGACGGAGTATAAAGGACAGAACGCTTGTTGTCCTTTTGCCTCGGCTGTAAACCGTTACCGTGGACTCGAGCGTACAATCCCCATTGAGGGATCGCCACCCCTCGACCCTGCCTGCCTTCGTCAGCGTCGACGTCTGCAAACCAGAAGCGGCAGCTCTGCCATGCGTCGGGGGCTGTGGTGAGCACCAAAACGATGGCTTGGGACCCACGAGTGAGCCACAGGTATTGAGCGCCATGCCATGTCAGAACGGGCACTAATGCCCTCAGCAGTGTTCGGGTCGCCAATTAATGGGGCTCGTCAAAAAGCTGTTAAATTAATTATATCACTCGGCTGGCGACCCGTGAGGTCTAGATATGTTCTGAGGGGATGTCGACAGCCTCAGCACCTTTCCCACATTGATCATCATCAAGCAGGTTGGCGCTCAATGAGGTGGGCAACCCCCAGGTCATCAGTCAGGCGTGCTACATAATTTTCTAGCATTGCGAGCTCAAGCCACTCAGAACGCAGGGAGATGACTTTGATGACAAAGATAGACTATGGTTACTTCATCGTATATCCAAAGTGTCCACTAAGATATTATAAAGATGCTGAGCACAGCGCCAGTACGTGGCAGCGCATCACACAGCGACACATGAGTCAGACAAGCCTGGAAAACACCTTGGAGTACTGAGAAGCACCCAGGCTGCCATTGCACGCGTGCGTTTGCTTAGGGGCTGCCCTCCTGGCGGTCTGCCATGGACCTCGGTGAGACGGAGCCAGGAGGGGCGTGTGGAGGTGCCACGTGGTTGTTTGATGGGAATATGCCTGTGGGGCACTACGTGGTGGCTGACCACGTGAAGTGTGGCTGTTTAATGGGAATGTGCCCCTTGGGGCATCATGTGGTGGCTGACTGCGGGCAGTGGGGCGTACCAGGATGAGTTGTGGTGAAACGGCGGGCGTGGCAGAAAGATTCCGGGTATCAAAAAAGCACCTCTTAGGAATGGGGCATATTTGCCAGAACTTGGGGGTTTACAAGTACTGGGGGCGTGTCGAACGCTGAGAGCATCTTTATCGGTGGGTGCTATTGTTCCGGCGGAGCTATTCGGCTATCCGAATAGCATGGCACGTCAAAAAACCATAATCAACGGTTGGGGAGCAATAGCAACCCAATAGCACCCCCGAAGCTATTCGGCGCTGAGCGGCGCTATTTTGGCCGCAAATAGCACAGCTCGGGGCCGAATAGCACCCCAGAATAGCGCCGGTGCTATTCGCGCAGAACATTGTAGTGCTGCAGGGATGCTATTCGGCGTAGGCATAGCAGCCACAATCGCGGATGCGCGCAGGGGAGCAATAGCACCGGTGCTATTCGGCAAATGCCACCTTAGTAAGGTGCCGCGGCAGCCAATGAGAACCGTTGCTGGATAGCTCCGCCGGTGCAATGGCACCAACCGATAAAGATGCTCTGAAGGGGACTCCGTATCGTTGCACTCGGCCTGGCAGCTGTAAGGACGGTTGCGCTGCGTTGGCGTGCGCCTCTCGCGGCGGCCTAGGCACTCAGCCTGGCTGCCTGTCTCCCCTGGCCGTGTGCACAACGTTCGCCACGGCCTGAGCGCAATAGCACTCGACCTCTTCGAAGGTCGCGGCCAGTCTGATCCTTTTCTGAGCCCCTTTCCTCGCCGTTCAAGACCCGCACTGGCAGCGCGGGCGTGCTGCCGGCCGAAAGTGACCAACCTTCGTCGCTGCACAGCATCGTCGAGGGGAAGGAAGCTTCTTTCGTGTATTGTATCGCTACGCTTTGGACAAGGCTGCCCCGAAACGTGGGGTTGACCTGTGCCCTGACCTCGCTGACCTTTGGGGAGTGGCTGCGACCGGCTGCGGCGCTCTGGGGGGGCAGTTGTGAGAGGTGCGCCAAGCGCGTTTGCATGCCTGACGTTCAATTGGATGTTTGCCGCTCGTCTGAAGCTTTCCTTGCCGTCGTTTCTATTTTGGGTCGTTGACATCGTCGCTGCAAGCAGTTCTTCGTGAAGAGCCAGTTCGCGCGAGGAGCAATGCTTGTTCGTTGAGTGCACCCTCAACTGACCTGGTGCTGAGTCTGTCAACGGGGATGACGGCCAGGAATGGACCGCAGTCCTTTACAGCAGGGAAAGGCAATGCACCTATTCGGCCATCATAAGGGTGTGGCCAGCCCATCCCTGTGCCCCTCCTCTTCCTGCTGCAAATGAAACCGAGGCTTAAGTTCAGGTAATACCATCCCACACATGAGCTTTCGACAATAATTGGAGTTCCTTTGCCAATACTTTGAAATGCAAGACGACTCTCCGAGACAAGTCTCCTGGCTGGGGCGATACTCACATGGCAGCCCAGGCCCACTACGATCGACTCGCGCCTTACTGTCACAGCCAACATGCCGTAAACTCAGAGAAACCTTGCGGCGGTGTGTTTCCGTTCATTTCATGCTCATGTCCACGCTTTAGACTATTTTTCAGAGCGCCTTGTTGGCCAGTGGCAATGTCCAAGAAGTTTCAAGCCCAGCAACCTTTGCTTAATGGGGCACGTGGTGTGTGCACGACGGCAGCTGTGGTGGGCGGCGATGGGAGTGAACATGGGATGGATGCTTAACTGACTGTTTCTTGCGCTCGACACAGGGAACCATGTCCTGAGACTCCCAGTGGCGGATGGATTCGGGTCCGGCAAGCATTTGTGCAGCCGTGGAGGCTGCTAGTATGGATGCTTTGCTGCACGGGGTAGCAGCCACGATCGGGCAGCTATCAAAAGTACAGGCCCGTTTCAGGAGGAGGTTGCAGAGTTTCGAGTGATGCTGCGTTCAGGGGACATTTTTTTTTCAGGGGACGCGAATGCCCGCAGCACCTTTACTTTCACTTACGGCTGAGGGCACGGAACCATGCTCAAACAATCGATTTCCTTGAAGCAAGCGAAAACTTCTGACCACGAACTTGTGCATGTTCACTGCCAGCACGAAAAGCACATTCTTGGGCAACTGCGGGTCCTCGCCTTCCAACTGGGTTGTGCACTCGAGTGCAAACCAGCCGCAGCGTCGTGCAGCATATGCTGCCAAGACCAGGTAGCACGCAACCCTCCACCGGGGCTGCAACGCAGTCGAAGCATGAAAGAATTGGCTAAATGAAATACATAAAATTCCCACATGACGGTGCTCTGCACCAGGCATCGCGCAACGACAGTCCATCACATGGCGCAATAAGTCAATCGTCCAAAATAATGACCTCGTTATTATCCCCTGTTCTTGTCCCATGCATGTCTTGAAGATGACTCCCCTCCTTGCTGCTGCTGCTGTCCATTGCCATGCCCACACCAGCCGCCCTCAGCGCCTGTTCGGATGAAGGGGCGCCTGCAGGAACGCCAGCAACGTTCCTGTCGGCGTTTGAGCTCCCTACCCGTGCGGCAGTGCTTACAGCTGCCACCGGCCTGCCAGGCAGAACGACAGGCTGTGTGGCATGAGTTTGCGGCTGTTGCTGCTGCGGTTGCTGCGGTTGCTGCTGCTGTTGTTGCTGCCGCCGCTGCTGCTGCTGCTGCTGCTGTTGCCGCTGCTGCTGTTGGTGTTGTCCACTGGGTGTGTGTGCAGGGGGGGCCTGGCTGGATGCATACCTTGGGCGGGCCAGAGGCACTGGGGTGCTCTGGGGCCTAGTTGGGGCCACAGGTGGCAGTTGTCTCCCTGGCGGCAAGCACCTCATCAACTGCACGCACCACATCTCCAGATCCTACGAACAACCCAAACCATTGTTAGGCACTCGTGCACCCAAGGACAAGAAGCCCAATCAGGGGGGAGGAAGTTATGGAAGATTATGGACATGTTCAGAGGTGCCAAACACGGCAGGGAGGTGTTGCATATTCTACTGCTGATAGTTCAATGATTCTGTTGAGCAACCTACAAAGCTGGCCTAACAATCTGTCCCCACATTGGACACAAGTGTGGCTGTTTGATCAGCAATACACTGCAGATACTTGGACCAGAGCAACATGTTCCATTTGCGTCAGGTCTGCGATGGCATAGCAGGGAAGTGTGGGTAACAAGTTCTCAATTGTAACAAATATGTACCAAGAAAATGACACAAAATCGATAGTCGTGATGCCACATGGAGGGTGCAAATCGACAACAGGCACCACATTTGATAATGACGTACTGGTGACTCAGTGCGACTCGCAATTCCTTCAGACGGGCACAAATCAACAGCATGTTGTGCCAGACAGCCCAGGTACAAATTTAGCTGCAAGCAAAAAATAAAAAACCACAAAAGACTTGTATTGATGTTCGACGACATAGAACAGCAACCAAGCAGACTATCACTACAGAGTAAACTCCTTTGATTGCGAGTCAAAAACGCACTCGAGCAAGCACAAAGCTTGGGTTGAAAGCTCTTTGAGCGAATGCATCCAATGCGCTCTCACTCTGCAGCTCAACAGCACCAGCAGCCGCAACATTCTCATGGGCGCCAGGACAGCATGGAGTGGTCACAAGCAAATGCTGCGAGTAGTACCCAAAACCCTCACTGCCAACACTTGTCAATTCACTGCCTTTGAGTCTGCCAGGCAGTTGGGTGTGGGCAGCACCTCTGATTCCACTTTTTGCGTTCCTTACCTGCAACTGTTTTCTAAACTTGTGTCCTGCACGAATGAGCGCTTCCTCTGCTTGCTGTGGATGCTGGGTGTGTGTTGTTGACACTGCAGTGGCATCTTGATGAATTTGCTTGCACAGGTTACACACAGTGTTGTACATGTGGATGAGGTTGACACGTGCATTGGCGTGGTTGGGTGTGGGCCCTGGGTACTGGCGCGCGATGGGCAAGCCAGTCAACAAGGCCACTGGGCCGGCGCTGCCCTGCTGTGTATGGGTCGGTCTCTGAGTGTTGGCCAACCTCGTCACAGCAGCCCCTGCACAAAACACACTTGTTCACTGCAAATGCACAAGGCAGGCAGTTTTCCGTTCCTTCAGGCCATAAGATTTAGAAACCACTGTCATCGCATATTGCATGGACCTTTGTGCTCACACCAGACCACTGAGGGACACTTGTGACATGGAGCTTTGCAGCACAGCAGCGTATGGCCTGGATCTCAGTCAGGATCGACATTATCTGCCTGTTTAGGCCACAGGAAAAGAGCAAAGGATGGGCCGATAGTGCAGCCACAGAATTTTGGACCAAGTACATAACTCTGAAGATAAATGATGCCAGTCTCATGCACACGCACCTTGCGCTGCCTGAGCCACAGGCTTGCGCTGAGCCACCTGCCTCTGTGCGCTTGGCGGCTGCCGAGCAGGATTTGCTGCCCTGCCGTCTCCCTGTTCATGCTGCAGCACTTCTGCTATGACCTTCAACCGAACCGTGATGAAATGCCTGCATTTCTGGTCAAAATGCTTTCCCAGGTAGGAGTGCACCTGGGCAGCGTCAACCTGCTGTGTGCCCCCATCCTGCATGCTGGGCCCGATGTCCTTGCCCCCCTCTACCACAGGGCCACTTGCCCTCTCAGGTGCTTCTGCCTTCACTACACCATCCAGGTCAACCTTTCCACTATTGGAGGACTCAATCCGTGGCCTCTTTGCGTTTTCGGCCTCGTCACCAGAAGGCTCTTTCTTCTCATTGCTTTCGTCTGTGCTCCCCAAGTCCAACTCAATCACCTCCACTGACCCTTGTTTTCCCGAGGCCCTTTCCTCACGCTTGCCACCTCCCTTGCCATCCTTCAAACCCCCTTCAGCAGGAGCATCAGGGCCTTGCTGGCCTTCCTTGCCATCTTCAAGTGGGTTCTCATTCTGCTGGTCGTTTTGCTCGCCGTCAGCCTTCTGTCTCTCCACTTCGACGTTGAGCTGGTCGCACAAAGGCTTCATGAGCTTCAAATCCGGGTCCTTCAAAATGTCCTGCCACCGCCCGTACCCATGCTTTGCAACCCCCTGTAGAAGGGCCCAATCGTGGTGCAAACTCCAGTGCTTGGTCGCACGCAGCTTTGAGTTGGGCCCAGCCTTCAGCACGAAACTGTGCCAAGCCTGGCTAGTGAGCTGCCTGAGCTTGCTCCTGAAAAGGTGCAGCATGCCCAGCCGCGACTGCACATCCTGGGGGGACACCTTGAACAGGACCTCAGATTGAGGGACCTCACCCTTGTGGGCGTAATGTGCATGCTCCAGGACGATGCGGGCGTAGCTGTCTATGTCAGCACAGTACCTCTTGGTGAACCTGGAGGTGAATGGGTCCCAATTCACCCTGCCCCCTTCCATCCACCCCTCGGGCAGCCCGTAACGTAGCAGCAAGTTCAAGAACGTCAGCCGGTCCTGGGCATTGAATCCCAACACACGCAAGTTTGGGCCCGAGCCAGTCATGATCTGCTGAGGGACGACAGCGACTGGGGGGCCCATGTCACCATAGTTTGTCCTTATCCGTTTCGAGGGCTCTGGGCTCCATCGAGGTGGCTCGCGGTCATGCAGGTGCTTCCTTTTCCTCATCTTTCTAGGCTTCCCATCAGCATGGAACTCAGACTCAGACGATTCATCCCCTGACGACATCTCCACGTACATCGCAGTGTTCTTTGTGCTGTAATTCACATCGCGTCGTTCTCGCATGCCCCGACCCAATGTTGCCATCTCCTGCTCCTTTTCCAGCATCTTCATCTCTTCATACCTGTTCTTCAGGCACTTGTCCCAAAAATCATCATTGGTGGTGTCATCTTTAGACACCACTGCTTCCTCCCCATTCTCAGCCCCCTGCTGTGCTGAGTCATGCTCTGACACCTCTTCAAACTCGAAATTCGCAACTGTGAAGCCCTTCATAAACTCGATCTCATTGTCAGATGCCTCCTCTTCCTCCTTTTGATTGTACAGTTCCGATCGGTCCAGCAGGCGATCAATGGCCGCGCTGTCATACACGATTCTCCCAGAACGCTCTGCCCTCTCTGCACCAACACTGTCTGAACTTAACAGCCAGCAAGAAAGCAGAGACATAAAGGAAGAAAAATAGACACAAAGCATGGCCACATATGCACAAAGCCACAGATCCGGCTGCAACTGACATATGCTGCACTTGGGTTCCCTCACACAAACTGCCCATCCACACAGCCAACAACAAAGCAATTCTGCACAATAAAATCAGTCCTGAACAAACTAACCATGTTCTGCAAGACAAGTCACCTGCCCTTGCAGCCTCGATGTCAATCACTCTTGCTGGCTCTTGCGGCTGCCCCTGTGGCGATGGCTCCTTGTCACCATCTTTGTCATCTTTGGTGTCTTCCATGAACAATTCCTTTGCACCATACCTCAAAATGTCATCCAGCTCTTCCTGTTTCAAATCGCCCCTGTTCATCTTGCGCACTACCAAGTGCTCCAACAGAAGCTTCTTTTTGCTTTGCTGCATCATGCGCTCCTCGATCGTTGCTCGGGTGACGAGTCTGAACAGAGAATATGGGTAGACATAAGATATCAGCATCAACAAAAGGGCGCACTTTGCCAAGGCCAGACCCAGACCCGGGAATGCTCCTCTGTCAAACTCGCCAACAACATGGCAGGGTCATAATGCATCACCTTATATGGTTCCTAATGTGGGGGTTTGTTCAGAAATACAAATTGTGCTCCTGATGAACAGTACGTCCATTCCCCATTTTGCAACCCAAAGTAAAGCTGGTGCACAACAAAACAGAGGCACTTCTCAGATATCCTGAGAAAATGGGGCCAGAGATGGCAGCCAATTCCCGGGCACTACCGTTGCCTGCATTGGTGGAGTTGCCATGATGCCCCATCTGGATGTCCAACACAAAACTGGTCAATGCACTTCCCCAGTGTGGGAATTTTCTACAGCGCAATAGTCACCGCCCTTTCACCTTTTTTGGAGATGTCGTGAACCCAAGCAGGATAAAAGCAAATGTCAGCAGCCAACTGTCAACCCCACCCGGAGCACCAAGCACCAGAATATGCTGCAAGTTCTTCCCTCAAGCATTAGCTGTTCAGGTGGCACAGGAGCTTGATACTGGGTTGAGCACACAAACCCCTGAGCCACCTGATTCACTGCGCGCTTCAACAAGCTGACCATCATGACTCAGAGCTGATGCACTGTGACAATTAGTCATCCATGACAGAACAGAAGCTTGCATGCATTCTTCTTTGACAACAAACGAATTATGGCCAAGATGTCAGTCCCAACCCCTGCACCCCACACTCAACACATCATGAAAGAAAGTGAGAGAGCAATGGCAAGTTGTCAAGCAAGCAACTTTGGAGGCAGGGAGCGCATCTGCTCATTGGAATCTTTGTATGTACCCAGCAAACCTGCAGGTTACCTATCAATGTACGTTGCACACCTGTAAATCATGACACCCTTCTGCTGCCCAAGCCTATGGGCCCTGGACTGGGCTTGGATGTCATTGTGGGGGTTCCAGTCGGAGTCATAGATAATGACGGTGTCGGCAGTTGCCAGATTAATTCCTAGGCCACCCGCTCGCGTGCTGAGTAGGAAGACACAGTACTTTTCCTGCTCATTGTTGAATTTGTCAATTCGGGCCTGACGTTCAGTGCCCGATACTGCGCCGTCGATACGGAGGTGGCCATATTTGCGGGCAGAGACCCATTCTTCTAGTAGGTCCAGCATCATCGTGAATTGTGAGTAGATGAGGATACGATGGCCTTGCTCCTGCAGTCCACGTTTAGGGTGTTACAAACATGCCACAATGTGTCATTTTCCCACAAGGCTCAACCACACAACGACTGCATAGCATGAGGTAGAAGGCAGACCTTCGCTGGAATTGTGCGCTGACAGCAAAACGCAGAGCGCAGGATAAGAAGCCACCATCGTCAATATAGCCAGCCATGCAGGCAGTCAGATGAGCGGAGGGCACTTTTTGTGGCTACCTTGTAGGTGAAGGGGAAACAGCTTCTTGAGTTCCACATATGCGCTAATAGACAGACAGCCATAACCTAATTTGCAAAGCAGCTAGACAATCACTAGACAGAAACAGCTTGTTGACCCCAGTTGACCACAAATGCACAGCGAAAGTGCATTCAACAATGGAATAGACCCCAGGCAATGCGTGCTGACCTTCAGCCTGTGGACCATTTTGTCAAGTAGGTCAAGCTTCCCAGACGCCTCCACAAACTTCTTCATGAACTTTGCAGCACACCACAAAATGTCCGATTTCAAGATCCTGGCAGCTGCAGGTGGCTGCATAAACGATGATGAAAGTGTGGAACAGGATCTCCGCCATCTAATCAAAGTGCTTGGCAGAGGGCCAGCCACGCACAAGCAGTTCAAACCTCGACACCAAATGCTGTGCCATGTGTCAAAATTGTCAGTCTGTCTATGTGAGATCTACGAAAGCATTGGTGGTCACACCATGTGGCCACACCAGGTGGTCATTTCTGGTGGTCACACGGTGCAAATAGTTGAGTCCTGACATCGATTCTGTCAAGTACAACAACTATTCCTACTGCCACAAATCAAGTGGCAGGCACTCCCTTGCCTCGATTGACAGGCAACTGCTCACCTCTTCTGGGTCCCATATGATGGGCTCAATGCCCTCAAACACATAAGGGTGATTGCAGCACTTTCGAAGCTGCATCATGACATTCTTCAAAGCGGTTGCCTTTCCTGCCTTCCCTGCAGGGCATCCATTTCTAGGGCTTAGTCTCACAGAGCCAGTTGTCAACGATATCTCACTTGGAATCATGACGTTGTGTCCTCATCAAAGACCCCACACCGAACTCAGCATCCAACCATTGGCTTTGGCTGCATGGATCCTATTGCAAGCCAGCGAGACAAAGCGTCTCCCTCCTCACCACAGTCGCTGCAATAAGGCTGCCAGCGTTTAGAAAATGCACAAGTAGCCGCAAGCTACATATCATGCGTGTATGCACAAAGCTGCCAGGCACAGCACATATGGCAATCTTAGAAGGGAAACTGCCGCACGTAGCAACCTCATACACCTGGGAAATGCAGGCAGTTCGTGACAGGGAACAGGAGCATGCAGTGGTTCATGTAAACTACATCCATCTGAAAGCTGCACAATTGATGTTCGCAATTCATTGTGCTGTCAACAAGGATTTACACTGCCGATCCGCAGCAGCAACCAAACTTTCACAAGGCCCCTGAACAACCACCAAGGACCTGGGGAACTGACCTGCAGTCAATACTTTGAAGCTCTTCGTCAGGATGCTTTTGTACACCTCTTTCTGCACAGGTGACATCTCCACACGCACTATCTGCTCTTTCTTGGGAGGCAGCTCCTTCAGGACATCTTTTTTCAGTCGTCTGAGCAGGTGCGGGGACAGCATCTCATGCAGGGTGCCGACCTGAATTCCAACACAGAGCACCTGAGCCATGGCAGTGTGTGCCGTACAGTGGGGGTGGTCAAGCCTCAGCCACCATACCCACATCCACATATGTACACATACTTGCATCCTGTCATTCAGAGTTCACACATCGGCTAACCGAGGAAGAATAAGAACAGCAGCATGGTGGCGCCATCGCACTGTCCACAGCAGGAACCTTGAATGTATGGCAATGAATTGTGCTGTGATCACAAAACTTCCAACAAGCGAACAATGATACCTCTGGAAACCCTATAAAATGATGCTGCCAATACAGGCAAGCTCAACAACAGCACTGCAGCAAAAGTGGCACTGCCAATAATGCCAAAAACCATCCTATTACAAGCCATCCTCGGCGTTGGCAGTATACACATTCAGTATTCTATTTTTGGCTCACTTTCTCTTTGACACCGTTCCAGTTTTCAAGAATGCAACAAGTAGCAGCCCATAAACAAGAGACAATCAGTCACACCTGTTTCTCATCCCCAATGTCTGCAAACTGCTGCTGGAAATCCTCCAGAGAGTCAAACTTTGTGCTGTCCAGGAAACGTAGCAACATGAACAATTCCGCAAGGTTGTTTTGAAGGGGAGTGCCAGTCAGCAGCACCCTGTACGCGAATGCAAACCCATGTAGCTCCTGGCCAGTAAGGCAATGGGGTCAGACTCTCTGAGTTACTGGCACACTGCACGGATCTCACTGCAGCTGCTCAACAAAGACAGCCACCTTTGCCACCAATCTGGCGATGACTGACAAACAAGACCGGTACCACGCTTTTGGTTGTTCTGCTGTGTGTCCCCAGGTTACAACCCAAGGGCAAAAGAATACAAAGGTTTGGCACAAAGGAAGCATGCAAGGACAAAGATCGTCATTTTGTTAAATAACCAGGAAATCTGTTGACCGCAGGCTGGCCCTGTCAGTGCAAATCGACGTTGCAACGCACGGCATCAAGTGTGAATCAAGGATTGATGAATTGATGAGATGGCATCCATTGCCAGACCAGAAGGAAAGCACACATCGAAACGCAGCACATCTAAGAGCTGAGAATGGGGAGGGGGCAAAGAGTACTATGTGGCTCTCTGCGTTCCTGGCCCATACCTGGTGGAGCTTGGAGTTCTTGCTCTTCAGCCTGTGTCCCTCGTCAACAATCAAGCACTCGTAGTCAACCTTTGCTAGGTGCGTCGACTCAGCTATTGCCAGTTCATACGATGTCAGCAGCACATGAAATTTAACACGGGCCTGCAGGCCAGCCCTTGTTTTGGCCTTTGCCCTTTCTTCTCCGGTCTTGTTGTTGGGTGCAAACAGTTCGTACTTGATGACAGTGTTTCGTGTTTCCTGGTTGCCATATAGCGACACCACACGCAGCTGTGGCGCCCACACTTGGAACTCCCTCTCCCAATTCCTCATCGTCGACAGTGGCACCACCACTAGGCAGGGCTTCCCAACACCAACATGCCTGCAGATGTGAGCAACTGCTCAGACCAGGCAGCAAGGAGCTCCCTCAAAGCAGCGACTGAAGAGGAAAAGAGGTTCATCATATTATGCACTGGGCAATATACCCAAAGCAACAGCTCTGGAAACTCTATTCTCCATATGCAGACACAACTCAAAATCTCAAATTCTTAATTCAGGAAGAGCATGTGACTGGTCATTGTCCTGAAAGCAACACTTCTGGAAATCTGTTGCACACATGAAGAGACAACTGAAAACCTCCAGGTCTCCATCAAGACAGTATATGAAATTTTAGGGGTCACAAGAGCAAGCAACCTGCATTCAGCAAGGCAGTACAGGCAACTGCGGATATGGCGCAATTGATGGTGGAGCATGCTATGAGGCAAATGCCCAAAACTGCTTGACAGGCATGAAACAACATATTCAAGATTAAGGACTTGTTGCACTGCAACTGGTCAATTGAATACTTCCTCTGTCCCGAATTCAATGAAACGGTTTCGAAAAGCAAAGTTACAGCCCGGACAAAAAGTGAGATGTGAAATATAATGCCAGATTTGGAAACATCAGGTCTCAAAAACCTAGCAACCACCTCTTTCCCGAAGAAATGTGGTCATTTAGTCCATTCTGTAGGCCTCTGAAAGGAGGCGTTTTCGACAGTGGTCCACAGTTCACATAATCAACCTGTACCATCGTTTCTGTTCACATGGTGTGGCTGCCACCCTGGTCACCCTACAGCTTCAGGACTGCCACAGTCATGTTGACTTTGAGTAGCATTGGGATCTCTACCCTTCCGACACCTTGGGGTTCGTAAGAAGGGGCTCACTCAGAGACCCAAGTTTTGACCGGGTCAGTGGCAGAGTGAGAATTTTTGAGTTCTCAGCACGAGTGGCAACGGTTCAAAAGATTACAATTTATGCAATTTTTATCCATTCTCTACAAAATTTTGCTAGGATTCAGGAAACTCACATGTATTGCTATGTTCAGATTTTAAAGATGAATTCAGCAATGATTGGTACAAAGGTAGCCTCACAAATAAATTGTTTCACTTATTTCGGGACAGAGGAAGTAGAACAGAAGGAAACCTGCCCTCTGGCAACGTGTTTGCATAATGGTCACAATCACAAACCGACCCTTCAATGGACCACAGCATTCGATGTCCATTGCATGCAACCAGCATCCGGAAGTGTAAGGCTGCGATCCAGTTTTCCTGCCCCTGCATTTGATAGCCATGGGGCTGGGGTACCTACCACAGAGTTGCGAGGAATGCTATGGATTGGATCGTCTTCCCCAGGCCCATCTCGTCAGCAAGTATGACATTCTCCTTGACTTGCCATTTGAAGTACAACCAGTTCAGCCCCTCCAGCTGGTATGGGTGGAGTCGGCCTCCCTTCAAAAACTCAGGGGTGGTGGAGAACAGCCGCTCAGCCTGCCGCACCCAGACAGACACTCACAACCATACACCACAGGGAACTAATCCAGAGAGTGGCATTGCCTGCAGCAAAACTGCAGTGTCACATGCCACAAGGGTATGCAATTCTGCAAGAAGGTGCTGTTGACAAAGATGTCACTCTCACTGTCAACAGCCCACCCAACCACATGAGTGCAATATGTGAGTTCCAAGGACAGCCATACCAACAGCCATAGCACAGTTGATGGCATCACCAACTTGAGTGTTTAGGATACCAGACAAGCCCATTGACTGCAACAAATTTAGCTATTTGTAGGTGACTTGACACATACCCTAGTCGCTACAAGCTGTGAAGCGCTGGTTGACTAAAACAGTCCCTGTGCCTTGCTGATTTGTGCAATGTAGACACAAGTCCTGCAAAACTATGCAGCAATCACCAGTGAAACCAGATACTACTCCAATTCCCAAGTACAGACACCTGTGGACACACCACACAGACCCACGACACAACCTTACCTCCAGTTTGCCGTCTTCCTTCAAATCCCTCTTCAGCTTACTCTTCTTTTTCTTTGGCCCACCCCTCGAGCCACTTTGACGACTGTCCAACCGTTCTTGTGCCTCTTCCACAATCGAAGTCTGTTGTTCGAATTCTCTGATGACATCTTGGGGAATATCATCCACCCACTCCCAGTAGCACTCATCATAACCCAAGCCCTCAAATTTAACAAAGTACTCAGGCTTCTTCCCTGCGACACCATGCACACAGCGCGTCACAAGAAGGAAGGGCAACCGGTGGTAGAGCATCGCATAAGCGCTTTGCAGGCACAGCTGCAAAGGGTGCGGGCCTCTTCCAATGCAAGGGGTATGAAGAGAAGGAAACTGTGCAAAATCATGCTTTGAGGCATTCAAGATATGCACTGACATTTCCTTTGACATTGTTTTCAGCACTGCTGGGGGATATTGCTGTGTCCAAAGGTGAAAGAGAACTGCACTAGCAAACTCAAATAAATGTGCTCATTGAAGCTACCTGCTGGTGTGTTCATGGACACTGTGGAACCACAGTGCAATGCGCAGCTACTGCCATCACAAACAACACAGCAAACTACATCAATGAACACTGTGCACCAACCACACAAGTGGCAACCATGCACTGCTGGAAGGTAGAATAGCCACTGAAATGTTCGCTTGTTTCCATCTTGGGGAGGGTGATTGCAAGTCATCCCCTTAACATTGTTAACAGGCATTACACACCTGGCAAGCCTGGGATGACAGGTTCAAGATATACATAGAAGCAGCATAACATGCAAGGCCCTGCTTGGCAGTCTGTTTCCACACAGACCATAAACAGACAGGGTTTTGAGACCTGTCTGATCAGCTCAGTGCAGTCCGCACCTTTCTTGGTATCAGCCTTTGACAGGGCTCTTTCCACACGCAGCCATCTCTTGTTCACACCATCGACCAGCTCATCTGGGTCAACATCAGGGTCTACACGAGGACCCTTGTGGAAATGAAACAACAAGAAGTTAGCACACGCAGACGTCTCAAAATATGCAGTGACAACACCAGTAGAAGCATCGCACCACCCAAACCAGGTATATCACCCAGCCAGTGATGCAGAGACCTGTTTCAATATGACGTGCTTTGACAAGCATTTTGCTCCAGTCCCAGACGCGAACTTCGTCCCACAGGAGTGGTCCTGGTTCAATCCCAGCTGCCACAACAGGTTCAACACCACCAAGAGTGAGAGCAGATCGAGACAGCACCACTGCATGCAACCCCAACTGAACACCTCCTTGCCACACACACCTCCTTCAGGAATGCCTTGTATCTGCTCCTCAAGCTGGGGAACAGCTTGTGCACTTGCGCAACGTCCTTTTCAGGCACCCAGGTGCAGTGCAAGTACGACACGCCTTTCCATTTCACATGCAGCTCACGTTCCCCAATCCCATCATTCTTATCCTGCAGATGTGAGGGCAGTGTTGGTCAACCTGCACTCTGGCATGAACCTGATGCTAGATGCTTTCACAACACTGCTGCACCCAAATGCACAAAAGAGCGCATTGTCCTGGTTGGACAGTTCCTTGCCCTGCCTACTTACGAATGTTGGTGCTTTTGCTGTTCATCTCAGGGCAGCTCTCCAACATCAGTCACACTGCGCTAGGATGACAAATTTTGGTCAGTGGGAAGGTGCCAGCAGTGCCGACCTCTTTGTTTCTGGTTGCTGAAAGCATCTCCGAACTGTTGGGAATTGCCCCAGAACCTAGCCGGCCACCCACCCCAGCACTTTGCGCCATCCCTCCGCACAACAGCAAGCGCACCTTGTCGATCGGTCTAACAGCTAATATCTTCTCAATATCTTGGAGTTTGAAACTGCTTGCGCATGAAGGGCAATACCAGTCCCCAGGAGGCACCCTGAGAAAGGACAACAGTGGATCAGGACACACCCTGCGCACGACCACATCAAGCAGCACAGCAGGATCGCGGATTGCAACCCTCCGCATTTGTGGGTCGTCACCTGGACAAGGGAGGGTCCAGACACCCCAAATGGTACACCTTGGGGCAGTTGTCGCAGCACAGGAGCTTGCTCGGGTTTTCTGCAGTGCCACACACAGTGCAGAATTCCTCGTTCTGCGCAGCCTCACAACCGGCAGTGAGTCCTCCGGCATCGACCCAGGGCGGTCCCCAAGTGTGCGCATCCCACGCACGACAAACAAGAGAAACATTGCGCCAACACCTGCGCTAACCCGTCCCGCCTGCCGGTGCAACATAATCAGGGCGACATGGGTCCTGATTCCCTCGCGCGACACTCGCGGCGGCCACACAGTACTGTTGCCACGGTCCACCCGCCGCAAGCCATCCGCGCAACCGCAGGTCGCCAGGCCGACCCGATCCAGCCCCTCGCTCTCCCACCGGCGTCGCCCGAGGCCACCCGATGGCGCCACCCGAGGCCTCGCCTGAACTCCATCTCCGTGCCTTGGAGGCGCGCCGGCCGGTCCCCGGCCCGAGTCAATCCGCGGATGCTGCCAGAAACTGACCACGGCTGGCGGGGGCGGGCGCAGCGGGCGCGACGCGCCCACGCACGGCGTCAAGGCTCCCCCCCTCCAAGCTGCCGCGATCAGATATCCACAAGATGCGGATCAAGCTCGCCCCGCGCGTTCGACCCCGCGCGTTGGGCCCCGCGGCCGTTTCTGTCCGTCGTCCAGACGGCTTCCGCCCGCGAGCGTCTCGCCCGGGCGCAAGGCGCGTACGAGAGGCGGCAGGCCGGCCGACCGCCGCCCACAGCAGGCACCAGCGCCCCGCTCCTCAAGCGTCTCCGCGCACACGCCCGCCAGACCCGCCCAACGACCGCACGGATCGAACCGCGCGCCGCAGATCAGGCCGACCTTGGCGAGGGGCCGCCCAGGTCGGGCGCGGACCACCCCACTGCGCGGGTTGTCCGCCCCATTCCGTCCTGCGGCGGGCCGGCGCGCCACTCACGGTGTCTTCGATGTCCGCGCCGTCCTCGCCCTCGCTGCTCCCAAAGTCGCTCTCCGCCGACTCGCGGTACCGCCCGGGTTGGTGCGCCACGCCGGCGCGCCGCGAGCCCCCCGGGCCCCCGCCCGCCTCGCCGCTGTCCGCCTCCGACACAGCGCCCTCGCACCGGACGTCGGCGTTTCGGCCCTGCGCACGTCCACCGGGCACCGCGCGGCGCGATCAATGCCGCTGACCGGACGTCAGAGGTCCACACCCAAGCACGCGCCCGGCATCAAACCACCCAAGGCACGCGCCAGCACCCTTAACATTATCCCCTACGACCCCCTCAAGGGGAAGCAAGCCACTCTGGGCGGAGCCCGTCACCGGAAGCCACCACTCAAGGGACAGCCGGCGGGCGCAAATCCGTCATACGCCAACAGGAGGGATGCCGACCGCGGTTTCCGGCCGGATCGCCCCTTGGTCGATCTGGCAGGGCGCGCACCTCTTGCCCGGGGCTGGGCGGGGGGGCGGCGGGACCCTCTCCGTCCGCGCCGCCCTGCCGGCCCTCCGGCGGTGGTGTCCGCGACATGGCGCCCGCGCGGCCCGCAGCGGCTCGCGCAGTCGGCAGGCGTGCGCGGTGCCCGCCCGCCCGGCTGGGCTGCGTGGCGCCCCTGCCAAATTTCGCAAATCGATGACGCCGAAAAATGCAAGGGGTGCGAGCAAAAAATTGGCGCAACGCTTCCCTTCCCCCATGGAGCGGCGCCCCTGTCGACGGACGCGGCCTGTGGCCCACGACGAAAGGCGGCAATGCGCCCGGCCCGCCCCAGTAGTTTAAGTGCCGGGGCGGAGTTCCGGTGACGGGTGCCGGAACCGGCGCCGGACGCGTTCCGGGAGAATCCCGGCGATTGGATGGATCATGACATCGGGAAGAGGCCTGAATCTTCTGGATATCTGGGTTTGTGGCCCAGGGGGAGTGCTGGGGCGTTGGAGGGTTGCCCATGCTGGACAGTCAGCTTGACGTGATGGATACATAAATTCTGGACGGAGGAGGCGGGGGCGCTTAGTGATGGCCCTTCCTGAGGAGCTCTTAATGATCGGGTCTGGAAGGCAGTAATGCATTCTTGCTTGACTGAAGTGTGTTTTTCTCTGGATTGTGGGTGTCAAGCGCTGCATTCGAGTTGCAAGGAAACCCCCGTTCGCATTCTGAGTACGTGGTACATGTCTTTTTGCATGCAAAAGGAGCCTGGCTGGCGGAATGAGCGGCGAACTCGATGTCCACGGAGTGCAGAAGGGACAGGTGTACACAATGCAAAGTCCGCATGTTCATGAACACCAAGTCCTAAGAAATCAACCATCTCAGCTTAAGCATGCTTCTCATCATTTGTCATCCACAGTCAGGTTGTTGCACATGCGTATGCCGCCAGGCACTTCTTGCGCTGAATCCACTAAGTAAACCTGTAATTCAAGCTGGCCACCGAGCGGAACGCCCTGACCATCTGACGACAGCAAAAATGGCACCCCAAGAAAACGCTGATGGCGCAGCCGAAACTACGATGAGTGTATCTCACATTCTACTATCGCAGTCCGACACAGAGGTGAATGTTCGAACCTTCATGCCGAAATTCGGGTTACAATCTGTTAACATTGGTCAACAATGATCTAATTTGTTGTCGTAAAAATGCCACAAAGCCTTGAGCACCTCATATTTTGGGCCCCACACGAGCGCTGGATTCCCTTCCCATTTGTTCCGCTTACTTTGCGGACTGGCTCTGGCGCTCCGTCCACAGATGACTTTTCCGGGGTATTTCTTCCCTTCATGAATATCCGTCCTCCAGTGCATCCACGTGTTCCAGATGGGCTTGATGAAAGCGCATTCTAAATTCAGCAAATCCTGTTGCACTCGGTCAAACTACTGTTCAGAGGATATCCGTCCCATAGTGCATGACTTACTTACCTGACACCTCTGCCTTCGGTGGTCTCCAATTCACTCTCAGACGTTCTCCGGAGAAGACCCTGGAACCCTGCAGAGCCCACCCCATGCCTAACCGATCGCAAGTTCTTACTGGGATTTCCGTCTTGACGTCGATGCGACTCAGCGAGATCACCCTCTGCATATGATCAAGGTGCGCACTTGCCCACATGCTGTGCGCGCCATCTTGATGTTTCAGACACACTCCCGCCACAGCAAATACACCGTGCCGTAAGGGTATTGCGGGACGGGTTTTGGTGCTCAATTTGGCGTGATGGCCCGTGGCACTGGAATAGTACGCTTACCAACAAGTGCGGAAACGTAGTTAGTTGGTCCCTTCCGCTGGAGTGCGGGTCCTTATAATGGTCTAGGCACGGTGCTCTGTACCTACTTGGCACGGGTCCACACCATTTGGGACGTTTCTGTGTACCTTGCAGGTACCGGCCTCCATATCTGACGGTATGTAAGCAATGATGACAGCCAAGGGACTCATACCTGCAGGTACCGGACCACTGCAACAGGTATGGGCCCCACGATGCATCTTGTGGAAGCCCGCGTAGTTTTCCGCGCGGTGCAGACGGCGTCACCCAAGAACCATTGATTTTGTTGCCGCAGTCCGCCACCACATCAAAGCAGGCATCCCAAACGCGGAAGTGGTAGGGAGGGCTGGCATAAGGGCCGAAGGCGGACAGGGAGCTGCTCTTGACAAGCCGACACGCTGACCCAGAAATTTCTAATTTTCATTATGCACTCGGTTCGTATCAAGCAACTGCAATGAGGTGGATGCATGCATCTTCGCAGATGTCGTTATAAACACATGTGCGTTACACAGTGCTCAAACAGACTCTGGCGAAGACGTGCGGGAACTGCTTTTGTGCCTTGCACCATGGAATCAATAAGCATGTGTGACCTATGCATAAGTTAGTTTATGCGTTGGTCGTACACACGCATTAATAATGTGCCACACACATTGCTGACTGTGCTGTACCCTTTTGACAGGTATCCATCGCCGGCCTTCTCTTTGTCGCATCCTACGGCCTCCTCTGGTATGGGGCTGCAGGCCCAGCTAACAATGTCATCAACAGAAAGGATCTAAATATTCATGCTATGGTAATATGAGAATACCCATGGGTCTTCAGGTACCCAAGAAGGCGGGATCCTATCACAATTTACTTCCTGGCAGCACGTGCGCCAGCATGTTGGGCGCAGATTGCCACGGTTTTAGGCCACACGACCCAAACCTTATGTTTGGACACAGTGGCTGGCGGTGAGGGGAGGGATCGACTCTTCAACTTGGTGTGCCTGTTGGCAAACACTTTTAGGGCAGCCGCTGGATCACTGTTGGGTGTGGCTGACCAGGGTAGGAGCGCAGCCGTGCTACAACTTGCACGAGCCAGAATCGGAAATGGCTGGTGTGCAAGGCAGTGGTCAAGTCACACAACTGTTCGCAGGTGCCACAGGGACGGGTGGCGCTCGTTTGGGCCTGTGCTAGAGGATCCATGGGAGAAAACACAAGGGGTGTTGGGACTTGCACTGCACCCCTTGGCGGTACCCCTTGCACCTACTGCTGCGGCGCTTGATGCACCATTGCCGTTGGGAACAGCTGGATGTTGCCGTGTGCATATCGTATGGACGCATCACACACAACTTTCTTTGGGAGCAGGAAATAGACACCGTTCTCGTTGCTGCCACCTATCCGTCGAGGATGTGGCGATTAGGATATGACCTTGCAATCTTGTTTCAGGACACGCCAGTCATTGGGAGCATCGCAAGCCATGCGCCACAACAGAAACGCACGCATTCTGCGGTCGCTTGTTTGCTTCATGTCTTTAATAGCAGCACTTGCACCGGAGCCTGCATTGTCGACCAAAGCCACGCCGTTTTACGCTGTGCAATATACACAATGCAAGCAAAACTTTTCAAGCAGCAGCACCAAGCGCAACAGCACATCGGCAGCCTAATCCCTCACTTCATCCCAATTCCACACTTGCGTCCCGACCCATCCCAGAGAGTACGAACAGTACATAATTGAACACACCAGTCCAAACCGTGCAGCCAGTGCATGGCAATAGTGTGGAGACACGATGGTCGGCTGTCTCTTGTTCCTTGGTGCCTGCCCACCTCTTGAACCTACAACACTGCCCCAAGCCTACCTACACCGCCCTCCCATTTTGTTCAGCCACTAAAGGCATGTACGGCTGGGAAGTTTGTACAAGATACTTCGACTCGAGCCACCTTTCGAAATTGGCTTGTCGCTTCAGGCGACCTGCCTGGGCACTGGCGGAGCCAGTGGCCTGTCTTCTCCTGATCAGGACGTCCTCTGTATCCTGGATGTAGATCAGCTTGGACGTCTCACAAAGGAACTTGCACTCCAGGCCGTTTTCCACACAACACTCCGACAGCCGCTGCGACTGGTCGCCAGGCACCAGGGTCCGTCTAAGGTAAACGGGAGTGTATGCTTCCTCTTCCTCGACAGTCTCTATAGAATCGCCCAGGAAGCTCTTGAGGTAATCTGCAAACCCAGGTCTGAGGGCCCCTGCACTTGCCTCTGGGCACAGGGCATCCATCATCGTGATCTGGAGCTTTCTGTCCGGAGTCCGTTCAATGCGGAAGCAATTCTCTTCTCGAAGGATGACCCTGCAGTTCGAGTGGTAGAGCTCGTCGGTTGTGGGGAATGCCCGTGCCTTCTCGTACTCGTGGAGCTCCCAGATCTTCAGTGAGATATCATCTGTCATGAGGGTTTGCATCTGTTTCACGAGGCGAAAGATCAGCTTGTCCAAAGTGAACAGTACATAGGAGTTGGTGCTCAGGAGCGTCCTGCACAGCAGCCACAAAATAGCAAAAATGTCAAGCCAGCTGCAGGGTGCAGCCTTACACAGGACTCCACATGGCTTCTACGCTTGTGAAGATGCGACAAACCACTGCTCTTGCACCCTGCAGGCGACTTCAGGTGTGTTTAAATATGAAGAAGTATCCAAGAAGCTAGACATCGCTGCAGGCTGCAGGTAAGGCTGCGCCACCACAAAAGGCAGCACAAGTGCCAATCTTCCATGTCTGCAACATCGCCCAGTCCGCACCATACAAATCCATCAGTGCTGTGGACAGGACATCAAACATACCTGCACCTATCCTCAAACTGGGACATCTCAATGTTCCCATCCAGAAGCTGGAACACCATCTCCATGAACTGTGCATGCTTCCTGTCTGCAGCATCAGCATCAGTCTCAGTTCTCGACTCGGTTTTCGACTCTGGCTCGATCCCTTGATGTAGCGGAGTGCTGGCTCGATCTTGAGACTTGCAGCACTTTCGGGCCATCGTGAGTCTGTCATGCAAGTGGTGGTGGAGCCTGAAGAACAGATAGAACGGCTCGCTGCAGTACAGCACATGCTTCTCCCCTGCTGAGCTGCCCATCTCGGGCTTGATGTCTGTGGACCTATGCCCTATCGAAGTCAGGGGCTGGCAGCCCCCAAACAGGTGGGATGGGTCCTGCAGCCAGCTGTGCGGGCCTTTCTGAGCATCCATGGCATCTTCAGCACAATTGTCACTGCCCTCTTTCTCTGCTTCCGCCTCTGGGACTGTAGCATGGTCAGCTCCTGGCTCCTGGTTTGCATGGTCTTCTCCATTGTTGTTATGCTCAGAGCTTGCCTCGCGGGGCAGTGCAAGAGGCGCAGAAACCTCACCACTAGCATGCTCCCTCTCTTCGTCCTCCATGTCTGTCATCATCCTGGAGCTGGGATCGTCAGCCTCCCCAACCTGGTCCTTGTTCTCCTGATCTTCTTCCTCTTCGCCAGAGCACATGGACTCGTCATCATCGACCTGGCGAGGCTGCAGCCCAAACAAGGGCTCCAAAAACTCCACCCAGAATTTGATGACCTGCCTACGTGTGTCGGACGACAGCATCTTGGAGGCAGCGAATTTGACAATCTGGTATATGTCTTCATGAACCATGTCCTCTGGGTACTCCAGGGTCATGTGTTCTGTCGACGTGGACGAGAGTGAGCAGGCAGATGACAGGGCCTGCAGCCTGCTGTCATCCTTCTTTCCCTTCTCCACCGCATCCTTGATTTCCTGGAGAAGGACTCTCTGTGCCAGGTTCTTCTTGTCTGCCTGTTTGAAATAAAAGCTCCGGTGGTCCAAAGACTTGTGGTAGTTGCTTTGGAACACAGTCCGCCAGTTGGTGTTCATGGTTTCCTTAACCTGCCGCCACTCCTGGTCCTTCTGCTGCAAGCGCATCAGCACGACGGGGATAGCCACAACAGGGTTCTTCTTCAGCAAGTCCAACACATTCTTCCCCTGGTCTCCATATATCCTTTCAATGATCCTGTTGTGCACTGGGCTCAGCAGGCCCTCCGGACACACAAAGTTGGCCTTTTCCTCGGAGGACATGGCCTCCAGCCTGTCATGCACCGGCTTCAGCCTCCTGATGGCCGAGGCGTTCCGCTCGATCGCCATCTCAAGGTCGAACCGCTCGTCCTCGCATCGGAACAGGTTCTCCTCGTATTGGTTCTTCCTCATCTGCTTGAATGCTGCGTCCTCCGTGCCTGTGGTCACACTCCTCAGTTCGTCCTGCAGTGTCTCATCCCCCAGCCTGGTCTTCCCCGTGCACTTGAAGATGGGGTACTCCCGCGGCAGCTGCACATATGAGGTGGTGGGACGCTCCAGGCCGGTGGTGTCCAGCTCAGACACGGGCCTCGTCAGGTACATGTTCCACAGGGACATCGCCCTGCCCCTCCGGAAGCCCACGGCCCCCCGCACGGTGCCCCCCCCGCCGGGCCGCACCTCCAGGTCCTCCTCCCCCCCGGGGCACGAGGTTATGAACTGCCTGAAGGAGGCCATGACGTCGTGGTGGCGCCCTATGAGGTCCTGCACCAGCCCCAGCAGCTCCGATTTCGATATCACGTCCTGGGCGTACAGGTTGATGCACTTCAGCAGGTCGCTGTAAGCTTCCCGGTTGTTCAGCCTGCCCCGCACCTCCTCGAAAAACCGCGCCTCCCGGTCGTAATCCAGGCTGTCCCTAGTCCCTACCCGTCGCCCGGCGGCCCCATCGGTGGCCTGCCTCGCTGACCGCCGCCTCGGGTAGGAGGACTCCAGTGCGGCGTGCGACTGCGCAGACAGCTGCTGCATGGCCCGAGATGGCGGCGACACGATCTCCTGTCCACCACCGGGCTCCACGGCCTGCGAGTGGTCCGGCAGGAAGTATCCGAACTCCTCCAGCAAGTCCTCGTGGTTGCGGAACAGGTCCGCTACCTCGCGGTACACCCTGTGGATGTCCATCCGACCCTGGCGGAAGCAGCACAGGATCTCCAGGAAGTTCTTGTACACGCGCTCGTCGTGCGCGAAGCGCGCCTTGATGCGGTTGATGTACGTGATGGCCTGGTCCAGCTCCACGGCCGGTCGCGCCTCGCGCCGCTCGGGCACCATCGTGATCTCCGACCCCTTGGGAAGGAAGGTGTTGAAGCCCAGGATGAGGTCATTGTGGCCCTTGAGCAGGTCCTTCACGCTGCCGATTACGGTGGCGATGTCGATCCGCTGCGCCTTGAAGTCCTTCATAACGTCCAGGAACGCGTCATACACGTCCTTGCGGTGGTTGAAGCGCTGCTTGACCTCCCTCAGGTACACCAGCGCGTCGTTGGTGGTCAGCCCGGGCGCCGCCGCCCGCGCGGCGGCCGGTGACGCCGGCACGGGGAAGGCCGGACCGCCCGGCGTGCGCCTGGACGTCGCCCCCATGCTGCCCTCGTCCCTCATGCCACAACTGACCAGCCAGGCGTCCACCGCCGCGGAAAGGCAGCCCCTCGCGGGGCCCGGAGCATAGACTCGGGGCCGAGGGGGCCCAGGTGGCCGAGCGTTAGGCGGCAGCGGCGCCGGAAGTGGGGCGTGGGCGTGGGTCCGCAGCGCCACCGGCAAAAACCCATCAAACACACCACGGGTCACCGCTGTTTTATTCACGGCCTCGAACGCCGGACCGTCTTCGGGCGGATTGGGCGTAGGTGTTACCGTATTCGCGTCAGGCCGCCGCGTTCTGCTCTTGTCGATGGTGGGCTTCCAGGGCTGGCTGGTGGCATCCAGGCGCCACTCCCCTGAAGTTACGATTGATTTAATAATGCCAATGCCCCAGCAACTTACCCATGTGTTAATTCACTGTTATTCGCGTTGTCCCTGTGCTCAGTGCGGGACACACGTCTTGAGTAATGGTGACGGACAGCCATGGAGCAGTCAGAGGTTTGGCATGGACAGCTGCCAAGCACTGCTGAAAAGCCAAAAGCAAAATGGAGAACATCTCTTGGCAGCCCAAAGCAAATTGACCAGGTCGTCTCGGCGGAATGGAAATAATGTATTTATTGGTGCACCAACGTGGTGGGTGCATTTGTGGATGAAAATTCCCACCCAGGATTCAAATACACAAACGAGTTTTTGATTCCAAAATTTAACACTAGTTGTTGTTGGGTTTGTTGAATGGTGGGCGCAGGCATTTGCACTTCACAAATTGAGGTCAGTTTGCATATTCCTTTGCCAAACACCTGTAGAAGCGTGCTTGTGTTGAATATTAAATGGAAAAACACGTTCGTGGAGGCCACCAGAGAGTTTCTGTGCTGGCTGGGATTGATGGGATTGGGGCCGTGGATGGTTCAGGCCACAATAAGAAGCTCATGCACCACGACAGGCTATCGTTAAGTGTCAAACGAGCAGGGAGAATGGGGGTGCTGAATATTGTGGGAATCTAAGTGCGGTCGTGCATGGACAGGCGGTCTGCCACGCTGTGCATCGCCCACCAAATGACTGCGTGGTTGTAATCTGTGCAGCACCCATGGCCTGGGAAGTGCAAGGGTACCATTTTTGACCTGAAGAAACACGAGCAATCATGTGGAAATGCACTCATCGCGCCTCGTGCATTGTGTGCCTGTCCCGGTTTTTCAGGAAAGGGTGCCCACTCTAATGACGCGATGGAAAGCAAGTGCCCAGGGAGTTCGCAACATGAAGCCTTCTCAGGGCCCTCCGTGGATTCCTCGCTCTGCATCCCGATTGGCAGCTAACTGTGGCCATTTCCTGTCTGTGGCACAGCGATTCGAGGAATCCGACATACCAGTCGGATACCCTCTGCGGCCATCCAAGGCCTCCCATGTGCACCCAATTGCGAGGATTTGGGAACCCATTTCGTGGATTGGGGAAGCGTCATTAGAATGGCGTACATCCATAGTGCAGCAACAAGTCACTTCCACATACCCCAATCCAAGGCCTGCCAAGTGCACAGAAGGAGGCATACACGAATATCTGGTAAAAATACAACTTGAAGACCCTGCACACGGGCCTTGCAACTTAATGTGGCTGTCCCTGCGCCGAGAACCTCCACAATGAACCTCCCAGAAACAAGTCACAACCAAAACGCCAAGCACACTTAGAGCCATTATTCTAAAGATTCCAATTCGAGTGACAAGCAGCACAACGCCGATGGGCTGACACGCTGACAAAGAGGCATTGTGCCAACCTGATGGACAAGAATCTGCACATCTGCAATCATCAACATCTCTCAATGCCAAGAGCTCTTCAAGAAACCCTGGTCCACTGCTCTATGCACTCCTGGTAGCGAAGCCTAGGCTAGCTATACTGCGGGTGGCAGACCTGGAAAGTCTGCATCCTGTCCCCTTATATCCTAATGGCAAAGAGCCAGAACAAACTCCCATGCACACAGGCACATCACAAAGTGTTGCATGGCACATCGTCGATGACAGGCAACTCTGCTGGGATTTCATCCACTGAGAGTGTGCCATCCACTTCAGAAAACAGCTCAAAAAATGCAACGAAGTGCCGGTAGCTCAGGTCTATGTCGTCAGTGGCACACATCTCCCTTATGCTGTGCATGGACAGCTGTGGAGCACCAACATCCACAGTTCGGCACCCAAGGGAAGAAGAAAGAATAGGGCCGATTGTGGATCCACATGGGCTGTCATTTCTCACACTGAACTCTTGGCACAGTATGCCTCGGCGTTTTCCTACCTCCCTGTTGCCACAGAAACAGACGGCAGACATCAACACCAACATTTACAGCAGCCACCATCCCACCCAGGCTTGATTGGCTCAAGGCCCTATCCAACAGCCATAGTCTTGGCTGGCAATCGATGCAGAGATACTGAGGTCTGTGCAAGTGTTTTCTAACCAGGACAATGACCATCAATGGTGAAACCCACCTGAACAGCGCTGACGACACCAGGTTGGTGGCATAGCGCTGGTTAACGTTTGTCTTGATCACAAGACCCTTATGAAACTTGGGCTGGTGGTCGCCATCGTGCTTTTCGGGGTAGTTCGGATGCAGTGCATGGGCCATGTCAGCAGACACAAGGAAACTCTTCTTGAAACACCTCTCCACTGCATCAGGGTGCCCATCTGACAGGCACCTTGTCACACGAGTCATAGCATCACGCATCACTGGCCCTCCAGCGCCAACAGCAGATGAAGACCCCACCTCCTCATGGTCAAACAGAGCGATGCCCCGAATAGACAGCTCCTCAGAGAGAGCATCCTCGTTTGGGGTGGAGTCTACAAGTGCACGTGCGGCGCAATAGGTCGAGCTCAGGTTATCCAGTCGCCCACAGAACACAAATTCTCTTGCCGCCCCACCAATCACACCTGCCTGGGTGTCACATACATTGAGCTCGAAGTCTACAATGTCAGCAGGATCAGACCTGCATCAGCAGGGGCAAGAGCCTTGTCACTTCCATTCCATAGTTCACTGTGAACCTTACGTTGGTGAGTAGGCACATGGCTGCAGAGTCCACAGGGCTCATAATAGGCCTTGAAAGCAGCACACAGGCCAAGCCCACATTGTGGATGCGACATTTGGGTCGACTCTCTGTCAGGTGGCAACAGGATATGATGCATTTGACGGCAGCAACAACAGCAACCTTTAAAGGTGCATGCTGTACATGCGCACACACACACACACACACACACACACACACACACACACACACACACACACACACACACACACACACACACACACATATGGCATCTGCATCCAGGACATATTTGCCACATGCACTGGACTGTAAAGTCTTATTGTAAATGGGCATTTGCACATCATACATTTCAGACAGCAGACAAATAAGGACTGTACCTGCCCAGTTCAGCAGCCAGAATATCTAGCAGGGCTGCATGGTGCTGCTGGGATGATCCCTCCTGTCCCTGTCCCCTTCCTTCACACTCGGCTTTGACAGACGTTGCCAGAATTGGAGCCAAATGTGTTTGATTGTTTGGCTTGAAGCCCTCTCTATAAATATCCCTGTATAAGTGAATGGCAAGCATGGGGATCCTGCATACACAGTGCACAAGCGGCATCAGTACACAGCCATGCTTCAGTGAGGTACATTTCTCAATCGACAGACAATGTACTGACAAACTGAAACTAAAAAGGTGGAATCAATCGGAAACCAAGACACAACTGGGTGAAATAGGCAGCACTTGATCCATTTTCTTCTGACCATATGACTCAATTTCGGATTTGATACTTCGGATTTGATACTGCATCACTGCTGCAGACAGTGCACACATGAAAATGTTGCAGAGTTGAACAAAAGTGCCCAGGAGTTCAGTGCTGACTTGCACTTCTCAACCACACCAAGAACTGGGGGATTCAAAAGGGACATAAGGGATATGCAGCTGTCAAGGAGAGACTGGACACCAACAACACAAAATAGAACAACAGCAGCAGACATCTGCAAAGGCGCCAACATTTTGCAAAGCAATAGATTTCTCATGCCCTGTTCAACAGCACCTTCTTGTTGTGTTCAATTCTGTGCACAACTTTTAACACAAGGAAATTATTTGTCCAATAAAACCAACATTTGGACAAGAATTTCCCTTGGAAACTAGCTAGGGCATGCCCAACGCAGTGCAGAAGTTGGCTGTCTTCAATCACATCGATACAAAGCATCTTTCCCCAGAAAGACTGCCTTAACCTTCCAAAAACACATTTGCATCAATGAAGTTGCGATCCAGTGCCCAATCCACAAATTCTTAGACGTGCACAGCATGCTATCCTGTTTGCAAATTCTCACGGCCTGAGTAAAACTGAGTGTCTTCGCTTCTCTACAGCAGAAGAATCACAGTTGGAGGCGAGGGCGCACCTCATAATTGGGCGCTCTATCTTCACAAGTTTGTGGACCAATTTGCCATTTTCCTCACGAACCAACACGCGGCCCGCCACAGACAAATCTCTGTCGAACCAGGTGCACCACAGTCCACCTCCGTACGTTTCAGCATTGATCGTCAGGAACCCAGACTTCTTTGAAGCCGAATTCGGCTTCAACTTCAAGCAGGGACTGTCTGTGTGTGCTCCTATTAGGTTGAACCCGTTTCCCGGCTCGTACTTTTTCCCGACCGCGAATGCCACCAAGGTGGACTTGTTGCGAGTGAAAAAATACCTGGAAAAGCAACAGCATTTGAAAGGACAGGAGCATTGCTCACGGCGGCGTGGCAGCAGGCCACTGTCAACGCACAGCCCGACAGGATCATGCGACGTGAGACAAGTCCTCCGCCAGGGCCGCGCGCAAAAATGCACGTTGATCAGAACAAAACAAGGTTGTTGGAAGTTCCGTCGATCGCGCATCCGACCTTCCTTGCTACCCTACTGCCCCAGCACAACCCTGATCGTGCACAATCCTCGCCATCTCTATTCGCTGATGCTCACCGCTCACACCAGCATCGACGACCTAAAGCGAACAAGCACACCTCCCCCCCCCCGCTTTTTCGTTCCAGGCCAGGCTGCGGGTGGCTCACCTCCCTCCGGGCCTCAGATCCCAGGCGTCCTTCTCCGCGATGTGCTCGAAGCCCGCGGCCAGGAGCATCCTGCTCACCTCCTGCACGGCGTGGAACTGCGTCCAGGCCTCGTTGATGAAGGCCACCATGTCGTCGGCCACGGAGGTGCCCACCACGGAGAGCGGCATGTCGGCTGCTCGGCGGGCTCCCAACGGCAGCCCACCTGGTAACCGCAAACCCAACTACACCAGTGGGCATCCCAGCAACGAAGGCGTAGTTCATACGCACGTTCTTGTGTTCATGCACACGTCAGCTGGTGCGGACGGGCATACGTTAAATCCGACCCGACCTTTGCTATTAACAGTGGCGGCGCCCGCATAATGGCCCGATACGGTGGGCGCATGTACGGTCGCCTGCCAGGCCCACGCGCAAACTTTTGAAGTCGTTGGGCGCCCAACGTCGAGCGGCAAACTGGGGGACGTGGGGCTGGCACTGGGGGGCGTGGGGTCGGCCCGGGCATCACTCGCACAGAACGCCCCATTGCGTCTCCGACGGCGGCGGCAGGGAACAACCAACGGCGCCGAGGCCCCCCAAGGACCCCATGGCGGACGCGAGCAATCTACCGTAAAGCCCATGCGCGCAAGGCGGGCAATTGGGCCTTCACAGCCGGGCAAGCTCGATCACCAGGAGCCGCGCCGGCGCTCCCGGCGACCAGCCAACGGCTTCCTCGGACGTCGATCGACCCATGCGCACGGCGACCTCCACCCCTCCAGGGATCCCTTTACAACACACTAGCGTTTGCCGCCCCCCCTCCCCTTCCCTTCGCACTTTCCCCAGCCCACACTCCCACCCACCGCCCCCACCTGCAAAATCGAAAACGCACTAATCTGCCAAGGGAATAAAAAGGGAGAGGACGCGCTCCGCGGCTGCTGCAGAGCGGTCGACCGCCTGATCGGCTCCCAGCCACGGGCCTATGCTCCATCCCACACGCCGGGCCACCCAAGGGGCCCTGACCCGCGCTCCTGCCCGCCAACCCAAGGTTTGGCTGGCCAGGACGCTCGGCACTGGATGCACGCGACCGCCACCGCCCAGCCCCGCATCGCACGGATCCCCATCTGCCAGCCGGCAGGCTCCCGAGGATCTCCGCAGCGAATTGCCCCGGCGGTGCTCGCTCGACACGCCGAAGAGCACCGCGCTGCTCGGCAGTGATGCCGGCCCTGTGCCGCAAACGCCGCTTCGTGCACCCCGTGCAGCCCGCGGGATCGTGGACCACCAGCCGGGGGAGGGGCAAAACGTGCCCCTAGGGGCGGCGCTGCAGGTCAAATTAAGGCCCCTGGTGGGTAGTGCGGCACACCGAAGGGCTGGGGCAAAAATTGGGCGTTGGGGGAGGGAGAGCGGAGGGATGGGGGATGCAGGGGGACGAGCCAAGAGGGGAAGGGGAAGGGACGGAGGAGTGGGGTGGGCGAGCCCCGGGCGAGCAAGCCGTGTGGGGTGTGGGGTGATGCAGGGCAGGGCGTGCTGCCTGTGTCACACCCGTAGTCGTTTGTATTGAGTCGCCGACCCTTCCGGCCATTCGGTGGCGAATGCCGATCCAACCCCCAGCCCCCCCTAGTGATCTTCGACCCCAAACGGGGGGGAAGTGGCGTGCTTATGGCGCAGCTGACCGGCCCCAGGGCATGACCCTTCGCTGGTTGTTCAGCCGGCGCCTTGTCGGCGGTCGGGGGGGGGGGGTGGCTGCAGTCCATCCGCGGTCTGTTCACCCCTCCAATCCAAACCCCACCCCACCCGGCGAACTTCGGCGCCAAACGCCGCGAATCACCGCCTTTGGGGCTGCTGATCAGCGGGTGGGGTGGAGTGCCATCCCGGGGGAGTGTCGTGTTTGATGCCGCGGCTGCCCGGCCTCTGTGCATGCCCTTCGCGCCAGTTTGTCCGTCCGTGGGCTTGTCGGCGGCCGGCTTGCGGCGATCTTGCGCAATGCAGCATGTTGGCAGAGGCCTCTGGGGCCTCGTTTCTGGGGCCGGGGTGCGCGGCGGCGGTCCCCGCCCCACGGGGAGCTCCCCCAGGTGGCCGTTGGACGTTGGGCACCAGCGACTTAGGCGTTTGCGCGTGGGCCCGGCAGGCGACCGTACGTGCCCCCACCGTATCGGGCCATTATGCGGACGCCGCCAGTGTTAATAGCAAAGGTCGGGTCGGATTTAACGTATGCCGTGCGGACGGGAGGGCAGTGTGATGGTTCTGCTTGATTTGGCCCGCAGTGCAATGTGCGGCGCGATTCGACAGGGACGGAATGCCGACCCTGCTACGGAAATCGAAACGGGATCGGCGACGCCTCTGCGTGCCCTTCGCTCGCGCGTTCCCAGCCGGCGCGCCAAGCCTGTCCCCACCAGGCGGCCCAACTTCCGCGTCCCGCTGGCTGGATGTCGGTATGGACGGCGCGAACACGTCCGTGCATGTTGTTGCCCATGCTTGGGCTCAGCGGCTTGCTGCCTCACGTGACGGGGTAGGCACCCAGGGAGGCCACCGCTCGCGACGCCCTACGCCCTACCAGGGGTGTGCTGATGGATGTTCGAGACAGCTCCTCTACAGCGCTCTTCCCCCGGTGGCGTCCGTACACCGCTCCTCGGCCCATCCAAGCCCCACAAATCCAATGGCCGCGGATCACCGCCTTGGGAACGAGGCGTTCCAAGTATGGGCCTCCGTGGGGACCGCAGTTGACCGAGAGCCTGGGCGAGCGCAAGGCACTGCCCCTGGAACACGCTCGGGGTACCTGAGGGATGGGTTTGTCCGGCTTGCGCAGGCGTTGATGACCACCACTGGCAGGCAGCCGCCTGGACGTTCCCTGTGAATGGTGTGTTGGTCGATGCGGCAAGGCCTGTGACTCCTGCCCGGGTATGGTTTGGCGACGAAAGCGACACGCAGATTTCCCGGAGCAGGGATGCAGCGACGGGGCCCCGGGCGAGCCTCCCCGCCATCCAGAGAAAGCGAGGACAACAGTACATTGGCCGTCTTTGGCAACTTGTTTTGCAACAGAGCCTGAGGTCAGGCGACGCGAACTGGCTCCCAAGAATCTCACTGCGTCAAGTGAATTTGTCTTGGAAAAGCCACGTTGAGTTCCATTGAAATTTCGGTACTCCCCAAGTGTCCTGCTTGAAGCTCACAGATTCTGAAATGCACACAGCCCGCGACGCCAGCAAGCTCGCAGCGGGCAGCCTGGGTTTCTGCTCCAAGATACACGGCGTGCACCTCAAGAGTGCACCTCAGATTCTGACTTGCTCGAAACCACAGCACTGTCGTATGTTGGCCTATCGTCGAATGTTCAATGTCCACTATGGCAATGTCGGCTACGGAGATTTGTTCCCAATGACGACAGCGGCAAGGACTCTCATCGCTCCACTGCTTTTGAAGGGCGCGCGAATCTCCAGACATGCATGACCATCTCATGGATCAGTGTATTGTAAGCTTGTGGCCCAAGTGGCGCCTGGCCTGCACATTCAAGTGTGATTTTCTGTCATACACACAATAGCCCTCGACGGTAATTTGGTACCACCTCAGTACACAAGACCAAACGCCATATTGCTGCATCCCAACTCACCATCTTGATCTTATTGGGGCCATACCCAGGATTGCAGCACTGCATTCTGAACTTACCCGGTCCTGCAAAGTTTCTGAAAGCGTTTATGCAGCTGACCACTCACTTGCACCAACTCCAGTCCCGTCATGTTGAACTCAGTCCACCGTCTGCACGAGCCGCCGGGGTTCTGTGTCATCGTGATCAGGCTTGTTATTTACCCCTACGGCACCATTTTTCCGTTTAGATTTTAACTCATAAAAGCACGCAATAGAGAAACACCATATTCATGGCCATATTTACACATTTTTACAGCTCGCTGACACATCCAGGTTACACGATGATGTCCCAAACAATGGTCAGTCCTCCACGCCCTCAAGCAACAGGAACACGGCATCCACCTCGCCCTCGGCATGGGCAACAATGTCGCCGAACAGAAGATCGTTTTCTGCACAATGTACGATGTCTGGCTGCCGCTCCCCGGACCCCTTGAATCTGTGTGTACGTACAAAGGCCCACTTCTAGGCATTTTTACGCCCATCTACGCGTCCAAAGCTATTTTAACGCGTAAATGCGCGAGCATTGGTGCCGTAGATGGCAAGCCTGATCGTGACTGAGTAGAGGGCCAGAAATCATCTATTGATATTGCGCCATTGGGACACCAATGCTGAATCTTGCTTCAAACACGGGTGTGCATCTTTCATGAAGGACGCTTCCGTGCGGTATCAAAACACGAATTGGCAATAGAATTTTCAACCGTCCAAATGCTGAAATACACTGCATGAAATGTCCAAGTTTTTCCTGCGGCGACGGATACCTGAGACTGTCGACAATTCCGTGGCCGAAGCTTCCCATCACGGCCTGCTCCATGGTCGAATGCTTGACAAATCAACTGAGCGCACGTCAAAGCGGTTGCTAGAGAGGATCGCGAGAATTCTGGACTATACAGTATCCGTGTTTTCATTTCGGAGATGCAACTCGTTGAAGGTGAGCCGCACTTGAGTGGGCCAGCCGGCATCTTAACCACACCCGAGCGATGCCAGCTAGCCACGCTGCGCCGTGCAACAGGTGCCAGTTCGGTGATTGCACAAAGCCACCTTTTCATTGCAGCACCATTCTTTGCCATTTTCTTGGCAGATGATCCATCAGTGGATTTCTTCAGCAATCCAAACAATGGCATAGCCATACAAGACTTTATCCGGTGTGCTTGTCCCACGTTGACCCTGACCTGGCCTCTGGGGAATCCAGCGTGCGCTTGAGCCTGCGTACTCAACAAACCATCCTCTTGAGCGTGGATTCGATAGGTTTGCAAGACGGGAAGGGGTGGCGCTTGAATGCGCTCACCCATCGGCGAACCCATGTCATGTGCCTCCGTAAATCCCTGACATTTCGAAGGAGTTGAATTCGTACCGCTCAATTGGCCAACCACAACGCACGGCAATGTAGACAGTGGCAATTTTGGGGCGCGTTTGTCTCACAGAAAACTTGCCAGATGTTGAACAAATTAAGGGAAACCTGTATTATTCTTGGTGACCCCCTCTATCCGCGCAACCTGAATAAATCATCTGCTATGCATCCGAAAGTTGGCGATCCCACGGTCATGCAAGGAAGCAGCGTCAGTGCCCCTGACAGTATTGCCGGGGATCGCAAATCGATTGCAAATCAATTTGAGGTCACTCCAGAGCATTGAAACGACGTTGTTTCAATGTTGACGACAGTGCCAACAGATATAATAGTACACAGCATTATTTGTTGATAACTGTTAATGTACATCTAATATCTGTTGGTATATATCTGATACTTAATAGTAAATGATATTATCTGCTGTAACTGGGTACATTCGCCAGCTCCAAGCACTAATGATTGAAGCTGGCGAATATATGCAGTTTTCTCCTATCCATGCTGGCCGATCACTCATCAGTTCCCTAGATTGAGATATGTTTATATCCATATCCATTGTCACGTCGACAATTCGTATAGCTCTGTTGTCAATAATGTTGAACAGCAATGCAGAACAGTAATAGCTATTATTCGAATGCAACTGTGACACTGACTCAATTCTGCTGGTTTCTGTTGCATTATTATGGTGATGCTGCGTGGTTCCTATTTGATGTCGATCAAGGATTGCAATGGTGCCATATATTCGACTTTATAAAGTCAATTATATTCAAGGGTGCGGCTCCACAATTTACTACAATGCAGGCTGTACTTAGGTGTCAAGGGTACTAGTGTGCTCAAGGGAAATTCCAAAAAGAACTTTGAATTGCCAAACGACTGGCACCGGTTTCGGCTGGCATTTTCCGAGTTTGGGCGTCACGCAGCAATGATTCGCCAGAAAAGAGAACAATGCCCTACAATTACGCATCCCAGATTGGAAAATGCTTGGAGGACGTTTCCTTCGCACAGCAGCCAAGCCGTGTACATTTCAGAGCGCAACAGCACTTTTCGTCGGTGGCCATCTGACTAATTGAGAGACTCTGCCACACGTTCGGATCAATTCCCCGCGATTACGTGGACCAGGAGCGAGGATGATGATGGTTATTCAGCATGCTTTGGGGCATCGAATCCATAAGTCCGGTTGGTTTGTTGGCTTCCCCGAATGGGCGATATAATAACATTAGCACACAAGTCTAGAGACGTGGTGGCGCAGATGTCTGTGGTAGCCTGGCAAGGCCAAATGCTCCGTAAGAACGTAGCGAATGTGTTGGAGTTCTTAAATCTTGCAGTTTCCAAAACTTGGAGAACCCCGCTTTGGAAGTGAGACAGCGAGCAATGAGCTGCGCAGCCGACAAGGTACCACAACACGTATAATCAGTGAAATCCGAACGCCAGCTGCGCAGAGTGGATTCCTCTTTTAGAAGTCCATTTCATCGCTCTAGCCTAAGCGATGAGAAAAAGTGAAGGACGATGAATGATCACAATGATTGTGCCCTGAAAACAATGCATGACGTAGGTGTTTATCAAGGCGATTGATCATGCCCATTGGCAAATGAGGGATGTGCCTGCCGTCGATGCGCAATGCGTTTGGGCCACCTGAGGGCAGTTTTGCCTTGATCACATTGCTTGCCGATAGATTGGGGCCTACAGTTTGGCATAGCAACAAGTGTGCAAATTGCGCCATCTGCTGCGCTCCTGTTATTCTTGTGGAGTCAGCTTCTATACATGTACAAACAGCCCCGATTTGAGTCATTTGCTTGCTCACTCGATGATTATGGCAATGTGGTGGACTGAACATCCATGTGGAGCGTTGTTTTCGGTGCACAATCATTGCGATCAGGCTTCACGTGCCTCCCACCGCTTGAAGTAACCAATGGAATAAACTGCAAGTTACGTTGCGCAGCTGGCATTCGAGTTTTGCTGTTGTATTTCATTTTGGTGCACAGCCTATCGCCCGCCGTCTCACTCCGTTGATGCTCCTGTCTGGATATGTGGCAGGGCAAGTGCAGGCATGTGGGAGGCCTAAAATAGTTGGATAGGCCAGCAGATAGGAAGTACGGCTGGGCGCCTTAGAAAACGGGTATGTCCTTTTCAGGAGGCCGGAATGGCAAAAAAAAGGTGATGTTTGGAGGAAAGGCTCGTTCCAGTCGCATACCTGTCGTCGGTGATCATGAATTAGAAGCACGTAAAGTTTCGAGCCAAGAGCAAGCACTGAATTGGCATTGTGATGACCGAAAATCTAAGCGCACATTCGTAGCGCAGGCTTGTCCGCTGCACCAAGAGTATCATATGTAAGCCCCCTGCATTAGCACTTCTCCGAATCGTTGCAAGGCGAGATTGTTGGCCATGCCCCACAGGCCCAGGATCGGCGATCCAAGCCGGTCCCCAAGGACCCGACACCCGTCCTAAGGGCACACAGCGCTTTCAAGATCCGCGGGCCCAAAAGTGAGAGCACGGGTTAAATCCCGCCTCGCCCCACCAGCCCGCAGTCTGGTTGGCGCTCACGTCTGCGGCGGTGGCCTCTGCGCTGGAGTTGGCAGCGAGGCCCTGACTTCGCCACGTGAATATGGCAGGCCTCCTGAGCCCAGCGGAGGCGCACATCCAGTCGGCGTGGGCCATCACTCCGCAAGGAGCGTTGCGAGGACTTGAGTGGCATTCGACGCTGGCGCGGAGGGCAAAGAGGGGTCAGAGCTTCTGCAGCGTTGTGGCTCGGGCGTCGGGCGACCGCGAGCCGCTGCTGCTGCGCGTGGCCAAAGGAGAAGGTGGGCGATGGTGGCTGACGGGGACGGATGGGACGTCGACGGGGAAGGGGGGGCTGGCGTGACGGGGCAATCTGGGCCTTTGCGGTGGATTTCCATCAGCGATACACGCCGCTTCAGCGCACAGAATTTGTTGGGCTGTCTTCATGAGCGCTTCGTGGTTGTTTTGTTAGCGCAGTTTCTGCATGAGAAGGCGAGCGTATTGGAAATACGTTATTGTGGCGCCATTCAAGTTGTGTGTGGAATTCCGTTCTCCTGCAGTTATCGAAAATTCGAGAAACTGTTGCCAAGAAATGTTCGAGGTGAAGAAAATATGGTTCAAATTCCGCGTAGCCGCCAGACATGGAAAATTGTTGGGAATACATCCTTTGGAAAGGATTCAAGAGGCAACAACTTGCAATGACATGTGGCCATTGTCAACCAGAGAATCAAGCAAGCACAGAACTCAACAGCAACATGTGCGAGAAAGCAGAGCGTGCAATGGAGTGATGAAACAGTTTAACTGTCTGTTTACCAACAGCTCGTGTGTGGCTGTGCTCCAAGTTTTGCCTGTCCCAAGAAGCTCTTGGTGCATTTGTAACTTGTACATCTGCTGCACCAGGCGTTGCACCGTTCTGGTCGTGTAAGGTACTGGCACTAATAACTGATGTGTGGGCATCCATCCTCTGAACATTGTGGCATGGTGCTTCCTGCAAAGCAGACGGGACATACAAAGCTGCAAACAGGCGTATGGTCAATGGCAGAATGTGTTCACATACAGAAATTGTGGTTTTGGGCTTTACCTCATATCGATTGCACCCGAATCTTGAATCAACAACAGTACTGAAGGGCATACCTTTCATGAATGTGCATGCATATACGCATGTACAATTACTGTTGGATGTGCTGCCGCAAGTGTCAGTGCTGTATGTCCCTGAATGGCACTGTACATGTGGTTCCACCAGTGTCCAACAAAAGCTCCTCAGATTCTTTGTTGTTGACATCTGTTGCCATGATTAATGAGTCAGGTTGGCAGCATTACGGAGCGGAGATTGCAGACGTTTTGGCCACAACATACACATGTACCAGTTGGTAACGATTTCGATTGTTGGAGTTCCACCGATACGCAGGTATTCCCATCTGCACAACTATCTACTTTGGTGTTGTCATTAATCAAAACACAAGTGGAAGCACCATGTCCAAGGCGATGGTGGCGCATTGTGCATCAGAATGTTTTATGTGGAGCAAGCGCTGCTTGAGGTTCTTGATACCCTGCCTGCTCGCCCTTGTTTTGGCAAATCCCCAGTTCTTGAAGAGCAGTTCCTGCACAGGTCAGCCTGAGCCATTTCCTGTGTGTGTGCAGAGGCTGAGCGAACACCAGTGTGGCTGATGCGTCAAGCAGGGCGGTACATGGCAGCGTTCAGGGAGTGAGTGCCCAAGGCAAAAAGTTCCCACATGTTTTAGCTTTCATTGGTACAAGACAACGATTACCTTCCACCATCAATACTACGCAGAGCAATTTGTGCACATCATTGGCCAATTGGCCACAGCTGGACTGGGCTGTCATTGTGACTTGCAGTTGTAATGGTCCACTCAGAACTTGTGACAGAATGAGATGGGATTTGCAGACGTGCACAGTATCAATGGTCCTTTTGCTGCTTCTGCCCAGTACTTGCATGGTTCTCCCTGTTCCGTGAGCTGGAAGAAGTACTCACATTAGTGGCAGCATCAATTCAGCCATAGTGCAAAACGAACTGATACGATTTGGGCAGCACTGACGGCGATTGTTCTGTTATTTGTACCAGATATTCCACCAAATATCCTTTCAGAATGCGTTCAGAGACTCCAGAAATCGCCATCGAGCTATCTCTCCAACCTTGGCGAGCATTCCACCCCGATGGTGTAATTATGTTCAGCGACATCCTCACACCACTACCATCACTGGGCATCGAGTTTGATGTTGTTTCAGGCAAAGGGCCTGTCATTGAGACGCCGATCAGAAGGTACAGTTGGGCTTTGGTGACAGGACAATCATGGTCTTCTGACTTGCGTATGTCTTGTGTTGGGCACATATCTGGCTTGTCAATTTTGAGAATCAGCTCCCCTGCTTCAATTAGGCTGAGGTTGCGGCACATGAACATGCAGCTTCCCCTAGCCAGTTTCTAAATGTTCTCACAGATGTTGTGCAAAAGCCATCGTAATTATTTGCAGCTCATGTTCAGGGCATAAAGGCCTGTTGGCTGTGATGTTCACGTGCAAGCTTGTGAAACTCCCAATTTCAACTGGGCCTCATTGGCACAGAGGTGGGCCAATGCTTGGATTGTCTAAAATGAAAATTGCCATTAGTAGTGCTCATGCAATTGGGTGCTTTTGACCCATTGCATGGTGTGAGCCCTGCACTGCAGGGCGTGCTTTCAAACTCACTGAAAAGGTCGTTACCCAAGCAATAACTTCTGACACTAGTGGGTAGATGGAGGAATATTAAATTTCTGCAGCATGGTTGTGAACATCAAGACACAGCATGTGGATAGTTGGCACTTCTGTACTGTTCAATAACTAGCAATGCTGTTTGCTACAATCAAAAACATGCTTGTGCAACTCTTCCTGAGCAGAAGATTGTGTTCTTTCCCATGCCATGGAAGATGATTGACAAGCTGCTGAATTCAATGAATACAAGTTGTATCTGGAGAATATGGTCCCCTGATGCATAGCTGCAGATGACAGGCCAGAATTTTGTGTCATAGGCGGTGCAGCAGATTCTTGCAGTGAAGCATTCTGTGCAGTGAAGTATACTATTTGTGCAGTATTGAGCAGATCAAATCATTGAACTCCATGGATGACCCGGCAACTTCATTGCCGTTCATCCAGGAGATTCTGTCTGCTCTGAGGAGTGAAATCCAGAATGATTCCACCTTGCTCGGTTTCATTGGGACCCCATGGACACTGGCTGCTTACGCTATGGAGGGTACTGCAAACAGATATTGCTTGAAAACTAAGGTGAGCTAGTCCATCCCCAAACTGCTGCAGCCCATTTTGGCCACACAGCCCAGCGTGTCATGACAAGTGTACTGGGGGTACGAGCAATGAAACATGAACTGGCTGCTCTAGAGATCGATCCCTATTGGCCCTTGTTGAGCAGACATCTTTGAAAGCAGCTGATGCTGTGTGTGAACATGGTAGACAGCAACAAAAGAAGCAAGCTTTGTGCGTGAATCGTTGAGAAGTTCTCAACAAGAAGTTCTTAATGAGAACACACATCATATTCACAAATGGTACCAGCTACAATAACAGCTGTGACTGCAGCTGTAATGGTCTGCCATGTAATGTGATATTCTTTCAGTGCAATTGCTGTTGAGACTGAGGTTTTGAGTCAATTTATCCTGATGCATTGATTTCTGGAGTCACGTTATTGCAGCCAGTGCAACTCTTGTTCAGAGTTGATGGTTCCTCTTGTGCCCCTGCAGACAATCATGCACCGAAATCCCAAAGTGTTGCATGCTCTTTTGGACCATTTGACAGAGGCCTTGGTGACCTATGCTTGCTACCAAATTGAGTCAGGAGCACAGGTCATTCAACTATTCGATTCGTGGGCACATCATTTGACCCCACACCAGTTCGAAGTCTTCAGCTTGCCGTATGCAGAGAGGGTAATCAAGGGCGTGGAGGCTGTGCACCCAGAAGTGCCTGTGATCTTTCATATGAATGGAGGTATGAGTCAGCCATACTGCTAAAGCATGACGCAGTTGCTGCATGCACACACAAAATGAACAGGGCGCCTGCCACAATGGCTGCTCATACGATGTCCCTAACAACTGTGGCTTGAATGATTCTGACCTGTCATATGATTGAAGATCGCTCCCTTTTGGCAGGGTGTTGTAGACATCTGGATCTGAGTATCTTACAGCAAATAGTTGTTTCGCACATGGCACCGCCCGCTGTGGGAGTCATCGATTCCCTTCAGAATAAGCGGATATAATGTCGGAGACTGAGTGCATGAAGTGAAGATTCCAGTTGTTTCAAGGTCGCTTGAGTCCATTTTTGCCTGGCACAGGAACTGGGAAGCTTGAATTGCTGGGTGACAGCTCTGCAAACGTTATTGGCCTTGATTCATGGGTCGATATGGGTGCTGCACGAGATGTGCTGTCTGGCAGGATGATCCAGGTAAGAGAATTAAGGCCTTGACTAGCGCACCTGTACATGTGGTTTGCTGCCACAGGGCACTCTTTGTGACACTTGCAGTCGCCAATTCACAATTCCTCAACAAGTTTTAGACAATAAAGCCTGTGAACCTGCCATCTTGGAAGAATGCACACTTGACCGTCTAGGTCCTTTGAATCCCATAATCTTCTTCAGGTAGACATGATGAGGCATTCTGTTGTGGTGTGTGAAGGGAAATGTGGACCCTGTGGTTCTGTTTGGCACTGAAGATGCCATCAGGGAGTCTGTGTCAACATGTCTGGCCAAGGCAAAAGGAGGTGGACATATTCTCAATGTGGGAAATGGTGTTATTCAAGGCACTCCAGAGGATGCAGTTGCACTGTTTTGTGAGCTTGCGCATCAATCTTCGAACATTCCTGCTGTCGAAATGATGGCTGCATGAGGTGTACACATAGCACATTGGGGAGTGTGACAGTGAGTGGGATATCTAGTTTATGAGGGGGATTCTCATGGGACAGCTGTCATGAATTTCATTCTAAGCCGCTTGATTATTCCTGGACGCCATCAACCAAGATCTCCCACACCTCGCGTAAGGTGGACACGTTTTCTACTTGCATTATGGAACAATATCATATTGGGAGCGAGGCAACTTTCAGTGCATTGCTCAGTACTCAGTTCCAAGCAAAGATTGCTCAGGCGTGCAATTTCATGCATTTCAGGGGACCAGAAACGCTCATAAGCAATCCTGAAAGGTGTAACGCCCAGCCTGGCACATCCCATCGGCCGCCAAACCAGCCGCGTTCTGAAGCTCAGTGCATTCACTCTCTGCGCCCTTCTTCGCCTCTGCGCACCATACAGATCAGCCGCCCAGCCAAGCCGCCGCAAGTCCTTGTCTGCGCCCAGCCACCCGACGGCGTTGAATCTGGCCGCTCCGCCCAGGTTCTGCACACCCAAACTCGCCGCTGTCGGTCAAGCTTCATGCACGCATCACCCGTACCAAATAAATTTTCGAGATCATAACCTTCGCATGAACCCCAACTACTATGTCTGCATGGTCAGCAACGCTTGCCGCGCGTGGGAGGTACGCCGTGCTCAGGGCGCAAGACCGACTTGACTGGCATCAACACCCATCTCTGACGTGGTCGCCACCCAGCGGCACACGATCGATGTCTGCACACTCTTGTGGGCCGCTCTTCCCCAGCACTCTGTGCATTTAGCATAGAATCTGTCTTGCCAGGGTGGCGTCACCAAATTGGCACTGATATTGACGACTGATCCGCAGTAGTCAAGCAAAGTACCGCATTATGCAAATCAACGATCGGGCATCTGTCAGCGTCCCAAGTTTTATTTGGGCTTGCTCTCTTCCTTTGTGCTCTTGCTGTTCGCCACCACCTGACACCGCATTCTTGGCAAATTCTGTCCAGAACCAGACCCGAATAGAACGAAAAAAACACACTTCGAAACGGCCTAGAAAACGCCTCGTTGACGGTCGCCTCGTTCGGTCATGGACTCGGGCCAACGGCCCCGCAACTGCACTACTGCTGGCAAGTGCGCACTAGCAAGTGCAAGGAGCAGAATACGCCAGAAACAGCGGGACACAGGGAAGCAGCGCCCCAACCTTGTGGCAGTGCCCCACCCGCCTTCCACTCTCGACAGACCCCTCAACAGACGCAAGGCCCTCCGACCCTGCGTGCCTTGGCACTGACTCGGGACCGAATGGATCTGTCGGAGGCGGACGCCCTGCAGTGCTGCGGCAGCCGCGCGTTCGCCGCGGGGCTGGCCGCGCACAGCCCCTTCGTGGACTGCCAATCCGCCCTGCACGCCGCGCGCCGCGTTTGGTGGGAGCAGTGCGGCGTTCGCGACTGGCTGGAGGCCTTCGACGCCCATCCCAAGATCGGCGACGTCGAGGCGCTCAGCGACGGCGCGAGCGGGCAGTGCGCAAGGGAGCAGGGCGCGGCCGTGGCCTCCGCAAGCGACGAGCAGATGCGTGAGCTCGCGGAGTGGAACGGGAAGTACGCGGACAAGTTCGGCCACGTCTTCCTGATATTCGCGAAGTCCAAAACGGCCGGCGAAGTCCTGGCGGCGCTCAAGACGCGGTGCAGCAGGTCGCCGGGCGAAGAGCTGATGGCAGCGGCCGGGGAGCAGATGAAGATCACGGAAGATAGGCTCAGGGGATTGCTGGCAGCGGGGCAGGAGGAAAGGGACGCCGAGACGCAGGCCCAGTCGCCCGCGCGGCAGCCACTGATCACGACGCACGTGCTGGACACGTGCAGGGGCTGCCCGGCGGAGGGGGTGCCCATCGCGCTGCAGAGGCCCGTGGACCCCGGGCGTATGCTGTTCGAGGACGTGGCGGCGGGGACGACGGGGGAGAACGGGAGGGCCGGCCTGTCGACGCCGCCGCGGCTGCCCGCCGGGCAGTACCGGCTGAAGTTCGGGACGGGCGCGTACCTGGACAAGTGTCGGCAGGAATTTCCCGATTTCTACAAGGAGGTGGCGTTCTTTCCCGAGGCGAACGTGGATTTCGAGATCACGGACGATATGTGCGGCGAGCACTTCCACATACCCTTGCTGTTGTCGCCGTACGGCTTTTCAACGTACAGGGGAAGCTGACCAACGGATCTGTCAGTCCCAGACGGCGGGGACACCCTGCAAGCAAATGGGTGATGATTGGCACAAGCTCTGATAAACCTGTCGGCGTGAGGCACTGATCTTAGGGAGGAAGGCGTCTGCGGTTCTGGGGTGCAGTGCGCTGGGAATCATTGTTCTCGTGCTGGCAATTGCCGAATGATCAGGTGTCCTCCCTGTGGACTGTGCTTTGTTGTCAACCAGAGAAAGGAACAGGCGACTCTAAAGTCGCTGATTTGAAGGCGTCTGTGTCGTTAGCGTGCTTTTTGAATACAGATCTCTGTGGATGACGTGTGTTGCCTGCATCGCATATTGGATTGTGCAGGCTGGTGGGGCTACTGCCCAGAACATGACCTCTGTCGATTGCTTGCTGCTATCTCTGTATCCAAGTGCTAATGTGCTATTCGTGTAAACTAAATCATGAACTTATTGCCAACCCTTGGATGGCGAAGGGAAGTGTGGCTGCTGCAACAGGGCTACAAAAGCACTTGCAATGCCACTGCATCGTCAGTAGTTGCATTCACTTCCAGCAACATTGCCATATCAGTTGAGGCCTGCAGTACAGGTCACCAATGGATATGCACATCAATGGGTGGCCATCTTCTTAGCCCTTTTAATAGGAGCACGCAGCCTTGCATTGTGTCCACAATATTGTGGCCGCAGAAGGTTGATCGCAACTGTGGCATCGCCTGCTGCTCCCTACTGCATGGCTCTAAAGATGCTTTGTGTGGAATGGTAACAGGGCTGAACAAGTGCCCCTTTCAGGTTCCAAGTGTGCAGGCCTGCTTTTCTTCTGTCATCCACTGGAACTGCACTATATTTGCCTAATTGCCACCATCTCTGCCAGGCGATGGGACAAATGTGCTTATTTCTTTCACGCCCGAAGATACTTCACAATCTGGTAGATTACAGCACTGCCACAATCAAAGTGACAGCACCGGTGCCTCAGTGGAGGGCCCATCGCCACTTCAACGGCCAATCAACGCCTCGTGCCTGACCATCTGCGTTGGTACGTTGACAATAACAGCACATCAAGCACTTATTATTCCTTCCACCCCATCAGATAGTTAACGGTATAGATTGTGCCCCAACTGGGGGAAAGGTGCATACTCGATTGGCAATGTTCAGACCACCGTGATTTCAACAAATCACTGCAGCCCGATTTGGAGGGAAGGGACGACGAAATCGTCCAATATCGTGCATGAGATCTGGCGAGTGCGATGAATTCGAGGGTTTGACGAGAAAGAGATTGGTGAAGAAATTGATGCATTCGCTGCAGAACTGGGCCAGCTTGACAGCATTGCATGCACTGGCTGATGGCAAATCATTGGCTGATAGACAGATCAGTCAAAGGAGATTAAGCGATAAGAAGACGCGAAGCGGAGGCGCGACGTCGACAGCTGATGATCTCTGTATGACCTGGCACCTTTTTTCTCGTGGAAGAACCTAGGGAAGGGCTGGTCGATGGTGCCCTTCCAGACGTCGTCAACATCGAGAATGGGGCCCATGCGATTCCTGCAATGCTTTGCATCTGTGTGGACATTGTGCATGGAAAATCCGTCGCAGCTGTCCCACAGTTGTGGAATCGAATTGCTGGCGTGCCATCCAGCTTCCAAGATGATCACGATGGCACTTTAACACGGGTCCCAGTTGACCAGAGTTATGGTATGGTGAAGGGGGCGAGGGGTGGCTCGACAAGGAGAATCTTCCTGCGTGCCGGATTGCCGTGTTGACAGTGCTAACATAGCACAGTACATGATGCCGGTCACAGCCTACTGTATCCTGCCATTCCTTAGTACGACCAGGTGCTCACTGCTTGCTCCAGGGCTCCCACGCGCATCACTTTGTCCTGAGACTCGCGGCGGCGACGGCAAACCGGCATGAAACGGGCCGCGTCTCTCTATCGCCACGCCAGCCTCGCTCTACAAGCGCAGGAAGTCCTCGTGGACGTTGCCCAGTTGGGCCCTATCGGCTCATTGCAGCGGTTCCCGCCCGCTGGCCAGGGTCACCCCCATGTGCCCTTCCAGCCACTGCTGCACAGATCATACCGTGGGGGCGCGCCTGACTACTACACGACCCACAAGCCGCCGATGCACTTTGGCCTTAGGTAGGTTTCCTGAAGGAACTCTGCGCTTTGAACGTTGTGGCATGGTTGATGGGTTGTGGATGGGCTGTCTGGTGCGCTTGACTCCTGCCCGGCGTCGAGGGCCTAGGGCGCCTTTGTCGTCGCCCTTGTCGTGGAGGAGCGAGCAACATGAAGAGTGCCGCGCCGACAGTGTGTTTCAGGCACTGTGTAATGATGGTGGCTTTGGATAATGTACAGCCTGCCTTTGCAGCTGTTGATCAGGACACATGATCTGGCATTTGAAAAGTGGAGAATGCCGTGGGGTGCTGTCCCCTTCCTTGCCAGCATTCCAAACTGGAGAATGTTTGTTTTCTTGTAGGATTGTCCCTGAGAAGCAGGCTTTTGTGATAGAGAGATTTGGGAAGTACCTCAAGACTTTGACATCTGGACTGCACGTCCTGATCCCCCTGGTGAGCCACAGCACAATTTTGGCATTTCTAAACGCAGCAGCTGCTGACCTGCTGGTGGTTTCAAACGATGAATGGTGTCCTGCTTAGGTGCAGCGCTTGTACATCTGATAGAATTTCTAGATTGACTTTCTCAGTTTAGAAAATGTCTCAGCTGGCAGGCTGACTCTGCCTATTCCATTGAATGGCCTTGTTCATGTCAGCTGAAAGAAGTTTCTCTGATTGTGCAATTTAGGTCGATCGTATTGCTTATGTTCACAGTCTGAAAGAGCTGGCAATACCGATCAGCCACCAGAACGCCATCACAAGTGACAATGTCACGATCACCATCGACGGAGTTCTTTATGTGAAAGTAAGTATTTGACATTAGGTTAATGGTGTTGCCTGGCACTTGGCAATGTTGCTCTCTTGAACACAAAATATTCTCTAACCTAACCTTTGTCTGCTAACGTGCACATCCACTGTAGCATATTCAGCCCTTCCGCATCAAAAAATTTACCATAGCTGTTTGTGCTCTGCATTTTTTGTCAGAGCATTGTTTTTAACTCTTTTACGCTGCTCCACAAAAGTTTTATGAATAGAGTGCTATTTGTTTTACTGTTTTCTATGCAAGAAAGGGCTGAGCGTTATGTTATTATGCGGAAGGGTTAAATATATTATGGTGCACCTGCATAGAGAGTGGCTCCAGCCAAGTCAGCTTAAGTGTGTTCAGCATAAATAAAGTGCAACATGCAATATAGAAGCATAACATTGCTGCTGAAGCCAGTGTCTCAATTGGGCAGGTCGTTGACCCAAAGAAGGCTTCATATGGAGTGGATCAGCCCATTTATGCCATCACACAGTTAGCGCAGACAACCATGCGAAGTGAGCTTGGCAAGATCACACTCGACAGAACATTTGAAGAGAGGGATGCCCTAAACAACAACATTGTCCAGTTAAGTTACTCTCTATGGCATGCTTGGCGAGTCAACTGGAACAGCATTAACTGAAATGTTCCTGGAACAGAGTATCTGTGTAGCGTGTGAGCAGTCAATTGAATCGGCTGTTTGAAGAATGCCAGGAGCAGCATAAGGCAATTCATACATTGCATTGCAGCATTGACTCTTTTCAAGCAGAACAGTTTCTTTATGGTGTATCTGGCCCCTCAACTTCTGCCAGCCCTAGAAAGCCAAGAAAGATGCCAATACCCGATGGGCCTGTGCAGCACACAAAAGCTGCTCTGATCGCAAGCAACAAAACATGACTGCTGCTAGCCAGGCAAGATGGACACATAGAGCTCAATCCCAAGGCACAGGGTACCATTTTATCAGCACAGCATTGTCTGCATTGCACGCAGCCACCATGTTGAGAGCATGTGGGCCGATGTTGCCTTGACGTCATGGATGCTGTTTGTTTGGAGGGTATTGTTGTTTCGATGGGATTGCCTTGGAGCAAACCTTCTGAGCAGTATTGTGCTTGGCCTTAGGGATATCCATAAGGCTGCTGAGGCATGGGGATTGGAGTGCCTACGATATGAGATCCGTGATATCGTCCCTCCAGAAGGAGTGGCAAGGGCTATGGAGCTTCAGGTAGTGCCCACACCTGGCAGTATGCATCCTGGTGTCTTTGGCTGTCTTGTCTGTTGCGTTAACTTGCCTGGTGATAGAGGGTGGCTGTTGCCTGGGCACAAATTTGGATGTACTGGATAGTGATGAAGCATCAGGGTGGCCAAGCTGTGCTGTTGAGCCAATACATGCTGGGGTTGCTTGGTGCTGTGGCACCCTGTTTGTTCAGGCCGAAGCTGAAAGGCACAAGCGGGCATCCATTCTTGAGTCGGAAGGAAAGAGGCAGGCCCATATCAATGCTGCCGAGGCTCAGAAGCAGCAGACGATCCTTGCGTCAGAGGCAGCACGGATGGACGCCATCAACAGGGCTCAGGGTGAGGTTGAAGCTTGGGGACCAGATGCGCATAATGATTTTTGCTCTCTATGGAATTAATGTACAGTTTCAGAAATTGACCTGTGCACAACAAGGACACAAGGCTCAGCAGAGTGATGCCAGTGCCATTTGCAAATTGTAGATTGCATTCCACAGTTCAAAATCGATTCAGGGCACAAAGAGCCCATTGCAATATGCAGTTGCAGAATGGTGTTCACACATCAGTGCAGAAACACGTCAACGTCCTTGAATCGGTTGATCAAACTTTATTGACCAAACCACGACCAAAGATCCAGTCTGTATTAAGAACATGGGCCCCTTTCGTTGTGTTGCGAAGGCGATGCAGAGGCGACTCTTAAAAGGGCAAAGGCCACTGCAGAGGGCCTACGAAGTGTATCGGAAGCACTGAGAGCAGAGACAGGGCAGCATGCTGCCTCTCTCAGAATCGCAGAACAGTATCTCCAGGTAGGCACATTGTCCGCCAATCGGTATGCACAAGCGAGGCAAGTACTAGGACTGGGAGCTTGTTCCTCGCAGTCTTGCATGGGTTTTGACTGAGGAGATAGTGCTGCTCAGTGCAGCATCGAATGGGCTCCAGCGTGGGAGTTCTCCATTCCACCCCTTCTGCTGCTTCCACCGGGCGTTGACGCCAACCGGACAATCTGCTGCTGTGCATTATTGCATTTCATGTTCATGCCAAGCTGGCCCAAACAGTGGCATGATAACCAAACGCCATCCCATCTGGGCTGTGCTTCAGGCATTTGCCAATTTGGCCAAACAAGGAACTACGATGTTGCTGCCAGCCAACGCTGCAGAGCCAGCGTCAGTCGTAGCACAGGCGGCTTCCATATACAAGAACGTGCTGCAAGCTTCCGGGGTGGACCACCCGGCATCGGCAACAGCACCAAACACGGCGTCGAAAGTAGCAGAGCCGTCAGGATCCCAACGGCCATCTGGTAAAGGTGGTGAATCGAGTGGAGAGCCGCTAGCACAGGCAGAAGGCGATGGTGAATCGTTTTCCTTAAGATCGAAGGAGTAGATTCCTTCTGTTCTTCTCGCTCTTATTCTTTCTTTCATGAGGGAACGGGGAATGGGGATTTCATGACAACAGTGCGCTGGTCATTTGTCACCTTTCTACTGGAAAAGTAATCCATGATTTGTGCTTGTGCCGGGTGCAGTAATTGCGAACGCTGTCCTACCTTTTCTGGGTTCACTGTCACTGACAAGGTAGCGATCACGTCCATCAATGCAAGCTAGAAAGCTGGCTGTGATTGCTTCAACCAGAATGTGCTTCCTCTTGTCCCTGGGTTGTGCAATGCAAGTGGCAAAATAGCAGATGGCAAGCAGCAGGGAAACATTGAGCAAGGGCGTGGAGCAAGTGTGAGAAGAGGATGGGGGGATGGGGGGGGGCTCAGCGCAGTGCATCATAACATCACTGTGCCATGGCATCTACCGGCACAGCCGTCCATGAAAATCCCTGTTTGATGCATGCAGATTGTAGCTGAGAGAATCCTACATTTTAACTGAGCAGCTGGCTGAAAAAGATTCCCGTGTTGTGCACATGTGTTGGTATGTGTTCCTGACCAGACATCCATGCATCCTCCTGTCAGTCCTCCATGCACACTTGGGCAACTTCCTCCGCATAAGACACAGAGCCAGACTGTCCACCACAGCTGCGAGAACATGTGTACACAGCAACTGTCGCCCATTCCCACACCGCCGCAGCCTGGCTCCCAACCAGTGCTTCCTTGCCATCGCACCAGCTGGCAGCCTCCGAAATTGAAAAAATCAATGCTGGCACAATCTGGAGCTCCATATGGCGCTGGGATCCACAAGCTGAACATGATGGAACCTTGATGGCATCGTTGCTTGGGTTCAGAAACTCACCTCCAAAGCTAACACACACATGGTAAAGTAAGCTGCTGTCCCAGATACTGATAGGTCACCACCTCACACTGAGCACATATCCCTTTGTGGGCCATTCTGCGCGAAACAGGAAATGACATTTTTGAATAGCTGTTCAACAGCATGTGGCATGCGCTAACAATTCAGGACCAAGGGCGGGCTATCTTTCCTTGCAGGAGTGATAATTTCTGTCTTCATGCCTACTGAAATGCCGAACATTGCCCAACAGTTGCAAAAGTTGTGCATCGTCGCATTGTGATGTAGGGAGCCAATGATGATTGAGGGGCCCAATTTGATATTCATGAGCATCTTACAGTGGCCGCAGTGGTCCTCAGACTGGAGTAGTGAGTCGTTCCAAATGAGACAGCATATGTTATGTGATACGACAATCGCCTCCCTTCTGTTCCTCTGCAACATTGAGCAGACTCTGCAGCCTGAGACTTGGTATAGAGAAAGTCCACCTGTGCTTCAGATATGTCAGTGCTCAGTGAAAAAGCGCCAGATGGACAAATGCAAATCCTCCATTGTTGTTTACATGCATTGGGAACAAACCTCTGCTGGAAGCAGCCACCTGCAGTTACTAGCGGAGACTGACAACTATGCCAGGAGCATCCATTTGGCAGTTACAAGTGGATTGTGGTGATTGTGAACAGTGCTGGACTTCTCCCAATAGTTTAAAGAGCAGTGCTGCGTTCCATTTCGACGTGCGTAACTGCTGAGGATTTGTCCTGACCTGTATCGCACACACTGCTCTGGACAACGGTCCAAGCGCTTCTTGAACCTCCAGAATGCCCCTCCATCCGACCAGCGCGAGCTGCACTTCTCATGCACCTCTCCAGCCCAGTTCTCCCCACGTTCGGGCTTCTTTTCTTTGCCCCCTTCGAGCTCTTGTGCCGTCTCTTTGTATCGCTCCAGAATTTCATCAACATGCGTCCGTTCAGCTTCAGTCATCTTGCCAAACCCTTCATGCTCTGGTCCTGGCTCGGGAACGGCTGGCAGAAAAAATTCAGGGAGCATGACCGTCGGTGCTGCACTCACACTCGCAGCCTCACACTGTGTTGACGATCCTGCAGCAGCAGCAGCAGCGCTGTTCGTGTCCGCTGATGATCGTCCTTTGGCCTTCTTCGCTATGCGGTTTTCTTGCTTGTGGTTCATTGACCCCTTGTGACCATTGGTCAAGTCATCCAATGCGGCATTAAGATCACCAAAACCAAACGGGTCCTCTGTCCGCTCGTCGCCTTTCCCACCCGATCTATCGTCACCCCCAGCCCCGCCCAAGCCAAAGGACGCGGATTTTCCACTGTCTAATCCCTCATCTCGTCCATCCGCAGTCGCCGCCCCGCCGGAAGGCGTGGTCGGGTGGCGCCGCTCCGCGTTTCCTTGGCCGCGCCCTCCCGCGCCGGGGGCCAACTGGGCCCTGAACGCCCTCCAACTACCCTGCAGCTTCCCGCAGCCTTCCTTCACGCATCCGTACAAATGCATGGTCCTGTCCGGCAGGCACACCCCGGCCTGTTCCACGCTCAACGGGGCGTAGGCCTGCATCGTCATCACGGCGGGCACATCGCATCACCAAAACCAAACGCCCAGCATCCCGTGTTCCTCCGCACGCGTTCAAACTCGTCTGCGACGAGTCGCCCATCAAGGGCTGGCAACTGGATTGGCAGGATCACGCTGTGCCGATGGGTGCAGCTTGATCACACGGCATTCGAAGGATATCGACTTGCAGAAGTTTTACACAGCACAGAAAGCTGTCGAAGGCCTGGCAAGAGTGCGTGAACAGCCGAGAGACGTTGTGGTCAGCTGGAACCTGGACATACAAATTGATGCCACTGCGCCCGATGCCGCTGTGGATGCCGCTGTTGGGCACTTGCCTGCACGACGAGGGCCAAAGGGTCTCCGCACACTGCGCAAGAGACGTCCGAGGAGGGCGACAGCGGATCGGCGCCCGGAAACCAGGCGGCGCCGCCAACCTTGCTGGAGTAGTGGCTCACGGCGTCGCCGGGCTCCACCAT